GGAGTTGGACTTTATCATGTCAGAGTGAAAATGAATCATAGTCAGTGTTGTTCAGACAAATGTGACCCTGATGACTAACACCTTTTCTTTAAACCAGAGTTCGTCCAGTTTTAACTCGGATCTCTAGAAATCTTTTAAGTGGCGAATCAGCTTCTGTCTTTATCTTTATTGTCAGATGGATTTATTTTATGCTGCATTTTAATTGCAGAAAAATAAATCTTTTTTTTCCTACTGTCAGTGAACAGCTCAGCCTGTGATGAAGATCAAATCTTCTTCAGGCTGGAAAACCCGGGGGCAGGCTTCTGTGTTTTTTTGGTAATTTTCTGCAGGAGTGCCCAGACTTCACAAAGTTGCGTGGCTCAGCAGCTTTTGATGCTTATGTGGGTTAAAAATACTACAGAGTTTCCTCTCTGCCAACCGCTCCAAGTCTGCTCCCCGTCTGTTCACTGTCGCAGTGACGATCACAGAAATATCCAGAGTCAGTTAATCTGTCAGTGGATGATATCTCCCTGCATGCACGTGTTTTTAATAAGAACCAAACGTCTTTTATTCCATCTCATCGTCTTTTACTCAGATTCATCCAAATGCAGCTGCTGAGGAGCGCCTGAATGCACCACTACAATCAAAAAGAGTGATGTTTGCTATTTGGTAACCTGCGAGACAGACAGCCTTCTCTCTTTATATAGTCCCTTCGCTCTCCAGAACAATCAGCCTGGGCAGAACCAAACGTCATTCAGGGGTCTGAGTAATCTGATCAAAAAAATCAATTCACAAAAAGTTCAGTATCAGTAAACAACAACAGAACAAACAGGATGTACACAATAATATTTGTAAACAAACTATATAATCACTCCCAAGGGGACAAATACTTATCAACACAGAATATTAAACTTATGACCGCCCCCACAGTGCTGGTATAACCTGTGACATCATTGATGACATCAGCAAGAGCAGAAAAGAAGGAAGTGTTTAGCTGCTGCCCCCATCAGTAACTCCTGGAGGTCATGGTGACTGTGGAGGATCAGGAGAGTTAAACTAACAGAGTAGAAATGAAACGAAACTCATCTTTGTTCATGTTCAAACAAAATATATTGATGGTAAAAAATGTTTTCCACAAACAAACCTGTCATATGTCTCCAATGCTAAATATTAAGATGGATATTCAGCTAAACAAAGCATGAGGTTTATTAGCTTTAGCTCTTGCTAACCTCTGAATGTTATAAGGCTAGCTTTAGCTGCTAACCTTAGGGCATTATAAGGCTAGCATTGAACTACTTTACATTGCTACTAACATTAGCTCTTAATTTTTCCTCATAATTTTAATGGGAGTGTGAAATGAAAACATGCAAGTAGGATTAGCTGCTAACTTACGGATAACAAGGCTAGCATGAAGCTAGGTAATGCAGTACCACTAAGACTAGCCAGACATTATAAGAGTAGCATTAGCTGTTAAAGTTATAAACTATGGGTATTATAAAGCTAGCCTTAGCTGCTAAACGTCTAAACATTGGACATTACAGAGCTAGCATTAAGCTGTATTACACAGTGTCAGTAACAATAGCTGCTAATTTGTCTTCATAGATTTAATGTTAAGATAAAATGAAAACATGGTCATTTAAATAACGTTTTAAAGCAAAATACTAATAAACCATTAATCTAAAACAAAATCAGTAAATGATGAAACTGTAAATAAGAAAAACAGAAAGTAAATGAGACAAAAAACAAACAGAGGAAGAATAAAATCTAAAGGAAACAACACAATAGAAATCAGCTGTTCTGTTTTGATTATGTAACACAATCATGTTGTTTTTTTTACTCTTGGACCTTCTTTGTTTTTCATGCTTGTTCTCGTTTGGTTTCTCATTTTTTGCTTTTTTTAATTACCTCACAGACGTGTATTTAAACACTGCGCCTGTGAGATGTGCTGTGTGTGTTTTAATGTTAATAACTCATAACTCATCCAGACACATAATTCCCTTCTGTCGTTGTGGTGTAGTGTACACACCACATTAAAACTACAGTCACAACATCACACACATCCACTGCAGTAATCTGTGACGATAGAAACACACTACGTCACATGATCTCCACTGTCCCTGGATGTGAAGCACAGCAGCTACCTGAGCAGGTGAGCTGGGTCACGGCTGTGTTTATGAAATGATGGTAAAGTTTGTGGGTTTATTTATTTAACTGGGAAATTGTGTTTCCTTTAATAAGTTGTATTTGTTGAAGGTGAGAACTGTGATTGGAGCTGCAGCTCTCGGTTGGTCTGGGGGGAGGGGCTTAGCAGTTATAAACCTGCCAGGTACGAGGTGTGAGGCTGTCTGAGGACAGCTGTGAGACACAGGTGACTTCTGCAAGTTGTATTTGATTTTTTTGTTTTGTTTTTCCTGTGGAAGTCCTGGTTTTTCCCGCTCACTGTTTTTACATTTTTAAAGCACCTCAATCTATTTTCCTGACTCAAGCATCTCGTTGTATTTCTTCAACGGACAGACAACATCAACATTAAAGTAATATTCACAATAATAATAATATTAGTCCAAACTACTATTTCTAAATGACTGTCACATTTAGTTTGTGAAGACTGAGTTTGAATTAATATACTTCATTCGTTTTCCTTTCACACTTTAATGTTTCGCGCTGTACTGCGACTTTAAGTGACTGATGAGTGATTGACAGGTGGGGACCAGCATGGTCTCTCACTGCGGCCTGTAGATGTTTGTTTCTAAACTTACTTCCTGTTACTTCCACTTTCTCTCTGTGCTGTTGTATATTATAGACAACTAGTTATGAAAAGTTAACTATCATGAACAATTTGACAGTGGTCTCTCTTTGTATTGTGTTTGTTTGCATCATTATGGGAAATTATAAAGTGCAGAACGATAATAATTGTTATATAATAAACATTTGTTGTTGTTATTGTTATGAAATATAAAAGTAGAGGCAGGAAGTAGCCCAGTGTAATATTAGAGTGATATTAAACACTCAGCAGGTTGAGTCCAATGAACAGCAGCATTCTGGGTTTGATGGTCAAACCAACCAGCAGTGTCGGGGTTAAAGGTTGTTGGGTTATTTTTAACCCGGCAGGGTTTAGAGTTGAGTTTGTGTAAATCATGTGGTTTGGGAACTAAAGTAAATATTTAGTGGATGGTTTTATTTGTGGAGAAACTCCTTCATCTTCAGCAGGACTCTCGGCTCTGTGAAGGGTTTACATCAAATAAACAATCCTCCGCTCGGCCTCTCATCGCTCGCTCCCTCGCTCATTCATTCATTCATTCGCTCACTCATTCATTCACTCACTCATTCATTCATTCATTCAACCCTCTTATTTATTCGCCTCCGGACTCGGGCGTTCGCTCCTCAGCTCTGGAGCCGTGTCCTGGACGTGTTTGTAGAAGAAGCCCACAGCCCATAAATCCATGAGTCACCCGCAGCCCATCTGCTCTTACATAACACTCCCATAATGCAACAGTGCCTGGTGCCTCAGTCTGCTGCCTTGATCCTCCAGACATAAACGATGAACACCCAGTTTGGACCAGGAGGACCTGGACTGAGGCGGACTCATGGGGGTTTAAATAATCTGATCATTTATTTACAACCAGAATAAGAGAAGAAGAATCTGAAGGTGTTGACTTGACGCTGCGTTCAGGGTCCCTCAGGGGGCTGCCCCCCACTCAACCATGTGTCAAAACTCACGGCAGGTGTTTATGTGTCCACATCAGGTGCACACACACGCACACACACACACACACACACACACACATTATTTATCTTTACTGGTGATGCAAAAGAAAGAACTAAGAAAGTGAAAACAGAACTCACAGCTTTTTATTATTGCTTTAGGGTCAGACAACATGAACATTTCTGCTTCTTCCAGCAGCAGTGTTCTTGTCATTAGACCTGATTCTACTGATTCCACTGATTCCACTGATTCCACTGATTCCACTGATTCCACTGATTCCACTGACTGGCTGCTGTGTGACTGCAGGAGTCTGAGGGACAATCGAACATCTAAAAGAGTCTTCAAGGTTTTTCCAGGATCTGCAGAAACACTGAGGCTGTTTTTAGGAAATCAAACGGAGAGAGAGCGCAGATGATCTCAGCTTTAACCACACACACACACACACACACACACACACACGCACACACACACACACACACACACAGAGATCTGCGCCTTCAGCCGCCCTCCTCCTCCTCCTCCTCCTCTTTATGTTCTTTATGTTCAGTGAGACTTGGCCTCCAGCCCGGATCCTGTTTCTCACTAATTATGGACAGAAGTTAAATTGCAGCGGTGACGCGGAGTCTGCAGGAGCCAGGTCAAGACGGGGGGAGTCACAGCACATCACTTCCTGTTAGGACTGTCAAAACAAAAGCCCCCAGCGACAGATGTGGCATTAATAGTAAAGAAACGGGACTGAGGACAGAAAAAGTTTGAAACCACAGATTCATCAATCAGAGTGATCAGCAGAGACTTGAAGGGGAAGAGCAGTAGAAGTTTAAGGTTCAATGTTCCTTTAAGAATTCTTTTACATTTACAGAAATAACGGAACTATTTATAAGTTCAGCAGTGAAGACAGGTGTGTCATCAGTCTGTCCGGAACCTCTTTGTCAGAGGCTTCAATCTTTTTCTAATTTGTTATAAAATATAAAATTTCTCTGTCGAGTCTGATCTGAGGTGAAAACATGACACGCTTCCTGACTTCCTGTCTCATCATTTTAATTACAGCATCATTTTGTATGTTTGTTTTCTTTCCTTCTTTCCTTCTTTCTTTCTTTCTTTCTTTCTTTCTTTCACTTTTATTATGAATCCAAAGCTTCTGTTTCCCGTTATTCTCTCTCTCTCCCTCAGTGTGTGTGTGTGTGTGTGTGTGTGTGTGTGTGTGTGTGTGTGTGTGTGTGTGTGTGTGTGTGTGTGTGTGACGCTGCCTTCCCCGCCTCTGCTCTCCAGGCGGCGCCTCCTCCTCCTCCTCCAAACATGGCGCCGGCCCGCAGCTGTGCTGCCTCCCCGACAGACGACGCAGAGAGGGACAGAGAGAGGAGAAGAAGACGCGGGTAGAAACTCCTCAACGTCTTTTAAACTCTTGTAAACACGAGCAGGACTGGACTCTGGCGCTTTGAAGTGTCCGCCGGAGACTTTACGCGCGGCTTTTGGAGACGTTGACGCGTCGGGCTGCGCGCGTGACGGAGAACCCACCTGTCGGACGAAGGTAGATCTCGCTCCGTTTCTTCTAGGATGTGAATCTCCCTGATTTATGTGAAGTAACGGAGCAGACCGAGCGGAGCAGACGGGCAACTCGGGGTCAGAGCTGGCGCTGGTGAAGAACATGTGCAGCCCTGTGAGGAGCGGGAACACCGCGGCTGTAGAGGACTGAGTCTTTCCAGGGGGAAAAAAACAACTTTTTCCACAGAGTGTTCCACGGCGGGAGGATGGATGGAGAACATTCTGCGCTGTCAGGAGTGGAGAGGGAGAGAGAGAAGCTTCCACCCATTTACCACAGCTCGCCTCCAGCTGTAAGAGCTCTGCCCTTCTTTCTTCTGCTTCCTTCTCTCTCTTCTGCAGAAATACTTTTTATATGTGTTTGTTTAAAAAAAGCAGCATCCAATCAGAAAGTTCTAATTTTCCAATTAGGAAATAAATTGCATTTGTTCATGAGGTCATGAAACTGTACAGAGCAAAACAACTTCATCATTTATAATGTTCACAACAACCAAAAGAAACAAACAAACAGGAAACATATTGATCCTTGTTAAAAAGAAAATATCAGATTTCTTATGAAGCACAAATCATTTTTTCAGTAATATTGATTTTAGGAAGAGTCAATAACTTTTTAAGAACGAAAGCAACATAATCATCAGGACGTGATCAGTGAATATTGATGACGATGTGTGACAGTGTCCAGAATGTTAAAGTCCGGATGATGCTTTTATTTTTTCGTCTTTAAAATTTTAGCGGAACGTTTCAACACCTAAACTTTTTATTATATTTTATTATATTTTATTATATTTTATTATATTTTATTGTTTTTTTTGTTTGTTTTTCTTTTGTTTTGTTTTTTACAGTTTTGCATTTGTGCAGTTATAAAAGAATAGAAAACATGATACACGGTGCAGGTTGTGATCCCACACAGACACGTCTGATATTCAACAGACTGAGGGATCATCTTCTCAGCTGTCAGTGTGAACTCACCTTGCAGCCAGGTGAGCACGCGCAGACCTGAGCAACAGAAAACATGAAATAAAAGCTCTCACAGGATCTGAGAGTGACAGAAAAGCGTTGTTTCCCTGCGGTTTGGAAAAAGTGATGCCCCTGTGTTACATAAAGAGTCCTGACATCAGCTCTCCAGCAGCGTCCGATGATGTAATGGTGGTGTTGTTAAACGCAGAGCAGGGAGCCTCTCTCTGCTGGTGTGTTTTTGGTTGTGGTTTTTTGTTTTTATCGGTGTCACTTCGCAGCCGACGGTTCGGGGGTTGCAGGCTGGTTGTGTTGATGTCATCTCCATTGTGTCAGGGAGCAGGAATGTGCAGATCGGATGGTTTTGACCAATAAACAGTCGGCCGTTGCTCAGGCCGACTCGACGCTGGTGTCTGGAAATGCCATAAAGTGTCTGCATGCGTTCTGGTTTCTCTGGGACTTCAGTCAGACCTGCTTCTCTCCCAGTCCTCCTTAGAAGTCTCCTCACCCCCCGAGCTCAGGGAGATCTGAGGAAATTCAGGCTCAACGCTCGGATAGAGAAGGTTTTAGAGACCGAGGCCGTCAGTGAACTGCAGAACCAGAAAGAAAAAAAAGTAGAGGAATTGAAGACAGCTGGTGAACACTGAAGGAGGAAGTATGTTTTTTACCTGGAGAGAAAGTTACTCAGAGCTTCTGCTGCTGCTGCTTCTTCTTCACCAGATTTTCTCATGAGTTTGGGGAGATGATGGTGCGGTTACATCAGATTAGATAAAAGTTTATTGGCTCAACGGTGAATTAATTCATGAAGTCAAGTGCAAAAATGCAAACGAGTCTCTGGAGTCTGTGCAGCTTGTTTGTGTTTAATGTCGCTGTGAATGGAACATCTTTGAGTTTCAGCAGTTGGTCGACAACTGAACAATCAACCAGTTAATTAAAACAGATTAGTTTTGAAACCTCCTGTGATTTGTGAAACACGGAGCCGACACCTTCAGGTACGACAGGTGTGTCATGTTGTTGCTGTCAGAGATTCTCTCTATCTGTGGCTCTCTGAGGGAGGAGTCATCTCATGTGGTGTTTTTATGATGATGGCGGATGGAGATGTGCATCATGTTTCCAAAGGCTTCAGCCGGCGCTCAGCTGTTGGTTGTAGGTTCCACACACAGTGCGACAGGTTCACAGGGAGGTGTAGTGCACCTGTCGGACCTCTCAGACATTTATCCAACAACCTTAGAGGAGCTAGTTGTAAGTTTTTGCTATTGCTAAATAGCTAACGTTAGCGTTAGCGGCTGTTTACCTAGCGGTCTAGAAGACACGTTGTCAGACTTCATTCCTTTAGTTGCCAACATCTGTCTCCAGAGGTGGAAACAAACACAAATTGTCACGTTTTTTTTTCTTCTACTGAAGTTAGCATGCTAACCAGCTAGCCCCGGCCTGTCTCGTCATTTTTTCCGATAGCGAGTCACTGCAGCCTCCAGTCGGTCCTGAAGAAGCAGCTGCTCAGAGGGCGTGTTATGAAGACAAAGATGGCCGAAGCTCTTGTCTTCCTGAGAAGAAACAACGACCATCAGCCGAGAAAACTGACAAACAGCTGCTTACAAACACAGCTTGAACCCGTGTCTCGCGTTTCCTTCACGACGTGTCGCTCTGGACTCGTTAACGACTCCGTTATGAACAATGAGGCTCGAACACACAGAACCAGCAGCTTCACTTTGACTTCACTCTGATTCTTCTGTGTGATGCTTTTATCTCACTCACACCCAGATATCCAAACACACCATGTGACCTGAATCTGTTACGACTGGTATCCAGACAGACAGACAGACAGACAGACAGACAGACAGACAGACAGACAGATAGTATTGTTAGCGCTTGACGTAACGAGTTGTCGACCTGTTTCTCCGCTGCTCTGCTCAGTCGGTGAAACAGAAAGCAGAGGACAGGAGAGATGGTGATGGCGACAGTAGGGGAAACACTGAGCTATCTCTGGCCCAAAGCTGGCACAAGTGCCGCTAGCCAGAAGCTGATTTGTCAGCCTTAATTGACCCAAATCTAACCCGACCCAAACCCCAGTCAGACCTGGCAGCTTCGTACGACGGAGACTCGGCTCACGTCTGGTCCTCTGGTGCCAGCACTCAACCGAATGTGCCGACACTCAGCCGGACTTGATGAGAAGTAATGACTGTGGGTTTAACACAAATATTTCAATTCAATTTCAATCAAACTCAATTTGAGATTTGTGGTTTCAGTAAATACAAAACACCTTAAGATTTTCCTGAAAGTCTGAGTTCAGATTTCCTTTAAATGTTCACGTAAGCCTTTAAAGTTTCCTCTTTATCTTCGTCTTCTACTTAAGGAATCACTCAAACCGCTGCACAAAAACCTTGGCAACCAAACTAAGGAATAAAACTAAAGGTACCTCTTACTCTGTTTCCACATTTCTGGTGTCAAGAAGGTGAACGGATTCCAAGAAGATAACGGACACCCTTAATGATGAGGGATTGATTTTAAATTCCAGATGTGACCAGCACCTGTAAATGACTCCCTCGGCTAAGGGGAAATCTTCAGTGTTATACTTCAGCAGAGAAGGAACAGTGATTTGTGTGTGTGTTCTCACAGAGCTGCAGGTCCGTCAGTCCGAAGATTCATCAACCGTCACTCAGACCAAACGTTTGACACGTCTCCATTTCTACATTATTAATTAAATTCACCTTTTAAAGGGTTCTTACATATTAATAACATATAATAATATTCTTCAAATATTTAGTGAAAACGAACCTTTGCTGATGTGGATGAATTGAAATGTGTTCAGTCTGTAGCTTCATTAAAACAGAGCAACGTGAGTAAAATAGATGAACGAAGAATAAATGCAATAAGATGAAATGTTGAGTCGTCCGTCGCTCTACTTTCACCAGCGTTTAGAGGCGGAGTCACGTACGATCTCACAGGAAAATGTAAAGGAAAGTGGAGTCGACAGATTCTGACAACAGTTAAATCATATTTCTACTAATATGTATGAACAGAAACATCCGTCGACCTCGGAGGGTTTAGAAACGTTTAACATCAGATTCTTCTTAGAAAAAGCTGTCGTCAGAAACCTGAAGGGTCTGATCAGAGAGAGGCGTGGTGTGTGTGTGTGTGTGTGTGTGTGTGTGTGTGTGTGTGTGTGTGTGTTGAGCTCCTTGGTGTGGTTTCTCTCTGGATGACAGCGTTTCCTCTCAGACTTAATGACTGAGCGGCGTTGGACAGAAGTGACATCATTCGCTGCTGAAGCTGCTGATCGTCGTCATGTGACCCGGCCTGACGTCGCCGCTCTTTTCATCAGGACAAACCCCAGTGAAATATTGGTTAATGACAACAGGATTGTTCCTGATGTGAGTGTAGTCTCCGTTTGTCGCTCCGACCTTTCCCCAGAGGTCACCTGCCAATCAGCCGGTGTGGGCGGGGCTGTGACGGTGATAATTAAAGAGAGAGGAGGGGCCGTGTGGCCTCTGAGGCCTCACTGAGAAACAAGTGTAATTAAACACCGTCACTTATCCAGTAGGTGAGAGAATGACGCAGGAAACCAGCGTCAGTAAACGAGACTAAGGCTTCATCCTTTTCATTTTAAAATCTATTTTCCTACGTTTTCCTCCGTCCGTCAACACAACGCCCTGAAAACTGAGTAGAGTTTCAGAAACGCTGCTGGAGCTGTTGTAGTTTGAAAAGTCTGGGGTTGTGTTTTAGTCTGGACGGTAGAAATGGAAAGACCTGAGGAAGCGATGACGTCGCTGTGTCATCAGCCTCGATTACCAGGTGAAGGCAACATGAAGCATGAGTCACAGGTGTCAGTGTCTCCGTCTCTTCAGGATCCCTCTGGCTGTGTTCGCGCTCGTCGTGATGGATAGAAATCTGACCATAGACCCTCAAACCTAATCACAGCGCTGCTTATTGATCAGCAGACATGCCAGCTGATGAACAGCAAGAAGCTGAAGAGTTTGTCTCCTGGAGAGAGAGAGACGACTTTTCTTCACTTTAATTTTCAACAGTGTTGTTTAAACTCTCAGTATCAGACGGATTCATTAATGCAGGAATACATACTGAAAAATCCTTTTTTATTCATGGAGCAAATCACAACAGAAGTTTTCTCTTCTTCTTTTGGAGATTGTTATTCTTTATTTCTTTCCCAGATGAGTTTGTAAATGTAGTATTTTTTCTGTGGAGTGTTGTGGTTTTACAACAGTGAAAAGAGACTGATGGTATTCTACATGTAAAAGCTGGAGGAGGGACGAGCAGCAGCGATAAACCTCAGTTTCATGCAGGAGCTGTGTTAGATTGCATCATCCATGTTCATTAAATAAATAAATAAACTCAGTTAAACTAATCCTGTGAGGACCGTCAACGTTTCAGTAAAGAAAATATATATATATATATATATATATAGAGAGAGAGAGAGAGAGAGAGAGAGAGAGATTTCACTCTTGAACCAAAACGATGGAGCGACCAGCCAACACCTGCACTTCATGTAAATCTGCTGTTATTTAGAGTTGAGTTGTTGATGAGGTCATCTGTGTGTGTGTGTGTGTGTGTGTGTGTGTGTGTGTGTGTGTGTGTGTGTGTGTGTGTGTGTGTGTGTGAGAGAGATAACGCCTCTGAAAACGTGACCTGTCACTAACTGACTCGGGACGTTTCCTCTCAGACAAACTGCCCTTTGTTTTTCTGTTGCTCTGCACAAGAGACAAAGTGATATAATGACATGGAAACAGTAGAAGTGTGTGTGTGTGTGTGTGTGTGTGTGTGTGTGTGTGTGTGTGTGTGTGTGTGTGTGTGTGTGTGTGTGTGTGTGTCTCGATGCCAAGACCAAGATATTTTCTTCTTCACATTTTTCCTCTGGGTCTTATTTCTTTGGAAACTGATTCATTTTGAACGGGAGATTAACCGTCTTCCTGCTCCTTCTGTTCTGCAGCCCCTGAACACATCGCTGCTGTGTGTGTGTGTGTGTGTGTGTGTGTGTGTGTGTTTGGTGCTGTCAGGAGCGGCTGCTCTGCATCTGTTGATCTCTCTCCTCCTCCTCCTGTTCACTCTCTCTCTCTCTCTCTCTCTCTCTCTCTCTTCTGTCCCTCCTCTATCCTTTCATTCCTTTTTTCTTCCCTCACTTCCTGTCCTCTTTCTCATTTCCTCTCTCTCCCTCAGTCCCTCATATTTTTCTCTTTCTTCCTCATTTAATTCATCTTCATTTCTTCTCCATCTCATCTGCATCAATTTCCTCTCCTCTCTCTCTCTCTCTCTCTCTCTCTCTCTCTTATCCCTCCTTTCCTGCTCTCATTTTCACTTTCTCTCATTCGTCCTCTCCTTCGTTTTCCCTCCTAATCCCATCCCTTTTTTTCTTCACCCTCATATCCTCTTCTTCTTGCCTCACCTTCCTTTCGTTCCCTCCCTCCTTCTATTTTGTCCTGTAATTTCCGTTATTTTCTCTCCTCCCTCCTCTCCTCTCCACATCCCTCCGTCGCGGCGCAGCCGGTGATTAATCACAGGGAACAGTTAGTGAAAGTTGTTAGCTCGGCTCAGTGTTCGTGCAGCTGTGAGTCCTGGTTCTGTCTCACTTTCTGCTCAACTTCTTCTCTGGGAAACAGTCGCTGCTTCAGCTTCTCGCTCTTTATTTCAAGGTGTTTTTCAGGGAAAAGAATAAATAGATAAATGAAAAACAAAGGATGGATTTACATTTAAACATTAGTGTTGAAAGGTTTTACATTCTGGCCTCGTTTTATTTTGTCACTAATCGTTTTCAAGATGTTCCATATTCAGAGCTTCGGTTTTATTTGAGCTTCGATGATGTTTTTGTTCATTTTTATTATTTGCTGATCTCAGATCTGTCTCCGATTTACTGGTGAACAAGTGAAGAGATGAGTGAAAATGAAATGCAGTGCAGTAAATTGTAAAATGACATTTTTAAAACTGCATTTTTATACATATTGATTAAATAACATTCGTCATATTTCTGTTTGTAGTTACTTCATTTACTGCTCACATGCAGTTTTCATCTGTTACAGTCACTTCAGCTGCAGGTTTGATCCATCAATCATTTCCTCATCTTGTTATATTACTTACTTATTGGAGAATATATTGGCGGATAAGTTGCATTTAATTGTAGTGCAGCAAATTGTGAAATTACATTTTTAAAACAGCATTTTTATACATATTTTCTATTTCATTCAACTTGAATGTATTTATCTTTTTTGTTTTTGTGATTATTTCATTTACTGTTCACACAGGTTTTGAACTGGTTACTCTGATCTGCCACGTTGTTTAACTGGAAAATAATCCAATTATAAAAGACAAAGTTTGTATGAGAGGCTCGTGTACAGATGCATTTCAATTTAAAACAAACAAACAAACAAACGAGTCTGAAGGATTCAGGCCCAAAAAGTAAAGTAGTGTCTGTTTTATTAGTTTTTCATCATCATTTTTATTTATAATATTTGTCACGAGCTGATCACAGTTCAGTTTCTCCAACAAACGAAACACACAAGCAGAAATTCTTCTTCTCCGTTTCCTCACCATGATGATGTCATCTTCCTGCGACAGGGTTTGGGGCGAGGAGCCAAGCAGCCGTTTCCATCTCTGGGCACCTTCATCTCCACACTGAGCCAGCGGAGGGATGCAGGGGGGCGGGGCTTGGCGGGCACCCTGAGCGGCACCCTGGGGCTCAGGCACGGTGAGTTCAGGTTCAGTGTTTTGGGTCGGTCTGGAGCACGCTGCTGCACCAGCATCAGGACAACCACACGAGTTCAGAAAAGTCCTGGAAGAAACTGAGGAATAAACAAAATGATGAAACTGTTCAAAGAAAATAAGATTTAAAGATGTTATATTATTATTTTGTGCAGATTTCTTCCAGGACTTTGGCGGCTCCATGAGAAACTGCACGCGGCCGAGCGTGGCAGTGAATGTAACAGCAACAGGCTGAATTTTGGTTGAATGTTCTGCCTTCAAAAATAAAGTCAATGTTTTATTTTTCCTAAAACCAGATTCAGGAAAAAATGTTGCATGAAATCGTTGTAGAGAAAAAAAAATATTGAAGAAAGTCACGTCAGGTTTTCATCGTTTTTACTGAACCAACATTCACCTTTAACTTGGAGCAGAGCAACACGCCGCGACGCTGCTGCTGCTTCCATCCTAGTGGTGCGTTCACTGTCTGACTGCCTTTGTTGTCTCGGAGAAACCGTGCTCTCCATCTCGTCTGGGATGTAATGATGTGTTACTTCCTGTGTTTACAGTACGCTTGATGTATGTGTTCAGACTGTGTTTATGTTGAGCTGCTAGCAACGACGTCGGAGCAGCGAACTCGTGTCTCCAAAGTGGAAGGTTTTCATGAAGAAAAGAAAAGGAAAAGCAGCGGTTCATGTTTTCCAGCTGATGACTTTGCATTTTACAAAAACTCACTGTGCAGAAAATCACAGGGTCACGTGTTTGATTAGAGGGTTTGTTGTGGCGATGCTTCATTCTCTGCCTTTTTACCTTCATGGTTGAAGTAGATTTAAGAGGCGAAATCAATCAGAGATCAATGATTTCAGATTCTGTGTTGACAGATGTTTGAATCGTCTCCCGGCGCGGTTTCTTTCACTAAAGAAATGGAGGGAAACCAGGATCATCTGTTCTGGAAAAGGGACGAAAAAAAGATGGCGGCGATATTGTTTATTTGTCGTGAGCGCGTCGTGTTGTGACATTAGAGGGAGTGTTGCTTCCCGCCGAAGGCGAAGTTATTTCTGACTGGCGTGAGAACGCAGACCCAGCGGAGCGCTCACCAGCTCGCTTTGTCACCACGGCGACTGATGCCAGAATAATTATGCAAACCTCCGGCCCAAATGAAAACCATATGAAAGCAAAAACACTCAACACACACACACACACACACACACACACATACATAAGACGGTGAGTGCAGCATTCCTCGGGCCGTTACAGTCGCCCGACTCGCTGCATAATCACCGCAATTTGCTATTTCACCTGTGAAGTATTACAGCAGGTTTGTACTTCCTGTTAATATTGTCAGAAACGGTTTTTGAGCGAAGAGTCTGATGCGAGCTGGAATCTGTCTGAGTTTCGTTTCAGCTTCAGAAAACACTGGCGTGATAGTTTGTTATGGAATAAGATTCCAGACTTTATTGATGTGGAACACTGGAGCAGGAAACAGTGAAGAAAGTGGAACAGTTAGTTTAAAAATATCATTTACTTACTCTGCTGTCCTTAAAAACCTTTGGTCTCTTTCTCCTTAAAACTCCAACTTCCTGCTGCTCAAATAAAATCATTAAAGCTCCATGTTTCTTCTTCTGTGTTTTATTTGAAGTGTTGATCATCAGAAGATATAAAAACCATCTCAGTGTAGTTTTACATCTCCTCTCTCAGGCTTCTCTCTGGAGCTCTAGTAACAACAGGTCGGTGAGCCAATCAGAAGAGAGGAGGCTCTGAGCCTCTCTTCTTTACCTTCAGACTGGAGGGAGCTTTAAACAGTTGAGGTGTGTGTGATGAACATATAGTTACCACAGAGCATTTTTAATTCTGAAGCAAAACAATCGATCAATAAAAGGAAAATAAAGAGGTAATTGCAAATAAAAAGCAAATCACATATTAACTTAATCAATTTTATTATAAGCACAAGGAATAATCAACACCATCCCAAGCACCTGAAATTAAAACCAAGTAGATGCACGTATCAGATTCAAAGTGGCACTTGAGTCTCAGGCTTCATTCAGACTTGGTATTAACATCAGTCTCTGCATTTACACTTCTTAAGCTTCCTTGTCACTTCACTTGTGTCTGCGCTGTGATTGGCTCTCCATATGCAGATTAGTCATGCGAGGCCGGGGGAGCTCCTGCCACGTACAGCTGTAGTTCATTAACAGGGACGACTCACCAGCTGCTGCTGCAGCTGGGAGCTGCTGCTGCTGCTGCTGCTGCTGCTGCTGCTGCTGCTGCTGCTGCGGCTGCTGCTGCTGCTGCTGCTGCAGCTGGGAGCTGCTGCTGCTGCGGCTGCTGCTGCTGCGGCTGCGGCTGCGGCTGCTGCTGCTGCTGCTGCTGCTAATGCTGCTGCTGCTAATGCTAATGCTGCTGCTGCTGCGGCTGCTGCTGCTGCTGCTGCTGCGGCTGCTGCTGCTGCTAATGCTGCTGCTGCTAATGCTAATGCTGCTGCTGCTGCTAATGCTAATGCTGCTGCTGCTGCTGCTGCTGCTGCTAATGCTAATGCTGCTGCTAATGCTGCTGCTGCTGCCGCGGCGGCGGCGGCTGCTGCTGCTGGGAGCTGCTGCTGCTAATGCTAATGCTGCTGCTGCTGCTGCTGGGAGCTGCTGCTGCTGCTGCCGCGGCGGCGGCGGCTGCTGCTGCTGCTGCGGCTGCTGCTGCGGCTGCTGCGGCGGCGGCGGCTGGGAGCTGCTTCTGCGGCTGCGGCTGCTGCGGCGGCGGCGGCGGCTGCTGCAGCTGGGAGCTGCTGCTGCTGCTGCTGCTGCGGCTGCTGCGGCTGGGAGCTGCTTCTGCGGCGGCTGCTGCTTCTGCGGCGGCTGCTGCTGCGGCGGCTGCTGCTGCTGCTGCTGCCGCGGCGGCGGCGGCTGCTGCTGCTGCTGCTGCTGCTGGGAGCTGCTGCTGCGGCGGTGGCGGCTGCTGCTGCTGCTGCTGCTGCGGCGGCGGCAGCGGCGGCGGCTGCTGCTGCTGCTGCTGCTGCGGCTGCTGCTGCTGCTGCTGCGGCGGCGGCGGTGGCGGCTGCTGCTGGGAGCTTCTGCAGGGCGGCAGCACAGGGAGGTGGAGTTAGGGGATGTTTCTGTATTGATTTTACACCTGGCTGAGATCTGATCACATACCTTCTAAATGCATTTCCACCTTTATCCACATACAGGTGCATTTGAACGGCAGATTGTGTCACAACAAGTAACCCCAATGAAATACTGAAGGGCCAGTGTTTCAATAAGTGTGAATTGCTTCCTAATTAAAAGGATTTCTTATTACGAAGGTGTTTAATATTTGGTTTCCTCCCACCGTACATGGTTAACGGCTCATCTTCACTGAGGTCTGTGGACTGCTCCGCTCATTAAACCTCAGCAGGAACAATTACATGAATTAATGGACAGCACTAGATGACAAGGACAACGAGGTCGTCCACTTGAACCTCGTCAAAGGACTTCAAAGGCTCCGTTGAAGAAAACTTTGATGAAAGGAAGAAGACGAGGAGGAGGAGGAGGAGGAGGAGGATGTCCTTGGAGGTCTTGAAGATGACTCTTCTGATTAAAGGGTGTCATGGCGACGGGGGCTTGTTGCTGTCAGGACTAAATTGGGTGACACACAAACTGACGAAGCAGGGGTAATTAGGAAGCAGAGGGTGAGGAGCGGGGGAGGGCAAGGGTGCAAAGATGGAAAGATGTGTTGTCTTCTCCTTGCTCTCGCTTTGATCAGCTGTTCTTTTCTTCTTCCTGTTGCCCACGAGGTGACCCTATGACCTTTTCTCCAGCGCCACCCTCAGGATGAACGTCGCCGCTCTGCTCTTCAAAGGATGAATGTGATAAAAACCCGATCACAGTGTCATGTATCCATCTGCGTCGCTTCTGCCTAAACAATGTGTCCACGCCTACACCAGCGAGCACCCACAATGCACCTGGTCAGGTCCGTCTGCTGGTGGCTATTGTTACTGTGGAGACGGAGAACAATAGGAGGCTAATTATAAACAGAGTGAATAGATGTTCAAAAGTGTGGGAGGATGGGTGAAACTGAATGTGTGTGTTTCTGCCTGGCCTCTGTGATTACACACTGATTGGGGTTAATAGCTGTTGTTTGTGTGTGTGTGTGTGTGTGTGTGTGTGTGTGTGTGTGTGTGTGTGTGTGTGGGGAAGCGACATCATCAATGACATCCCTTCCTCAGTCTGTCTCTCTTGCCGTCCATCCTCCTTTTTCTCTTTGTTTACAAACAGAAACGGTAAAAACAATTCCCGTCTTTGATTTCATCGCATTAATCTTTTTTTCCTTTCCATCATTTAAAGCTCGTTCGAGCTTCACATCTGTGATTGGCAGTTATCATTGATTGTTTGATTAATTTATAAATTGTTTTTCCTCCTTCATAAACTTGGCGAACAACTTGGTGCGACATGTTGTCACTGGCAAAATCACAAAATATACAGACTGCAGCCCGCAGACTGAAATAACATTTAGAAAGTGAAGAAAAAATTGTCAGACTTCATGATTATTATCATGATTGTCATTAAAATTTTGATCCTGCTGAAACTGTATCTCTGTATTTACATCTATAACTTTATCTGTTCCCTGTGTGAGAGCTGATGTAGCTCAGGAAGCGCTGATAGTTGCTGTGTGCTGCTTGAGAATCAGGTTTGGTCCTGTCACTTTTCAAAATGAGAGTCCAAACAAAAAACCTTTCAAGACCTATAATTATTCTCTGTGTGAGAGCTGCAATAGCTCAGATGGTTAAGAAGCAGGTTTGCTAACTGAAGTTCTGGGTGTTGTCTGGATCTTTAAATATCTAATTTTGTATTTGTACAAAAAGATATTTTACAGAATAAGAGTCCAAACAAAAACTTTCAACCTTTCAAGATCTGGTTCAACTCCGGAAGCAGCATCTTAATCCTCTGGACTACATGAAGTCTTGATTATGAGCTGGTTGTGGATTTCAAACCAAATAGATTATAAACATATAACAAACAGACTTATTTTGTAGTATTACGATTCTAATTAACATCTGGAGCCAACTGATGTTTTCATCTGAACTCTGGATAATTGTTCTCTGTGTGAGAGCTGCTCTAGCTCTACATTTATTTAAAGAACTTTTTGAATAACTTTTTTGTACAGATGATTGCAGTTAGTGTGTAAAATATTTTTACCGTTGAGCTTGAGCAGCTCTCGCTTGAGTCTCTAGAGTTGAAATGAAAATGAGTTCCCTGCGCCGAAGGAGACTCGAGTTAACGAGTGGTTTGCCGTCTCTCTCTTCCAGGGAGAGAGCTGCCTCCGATCTGCAGCGATGTTCGTCAGAAGCAGCGCCTCTCCATCGACACTCTGCCTCCAGAGGTCAAAGCTCCGTTCCCCTCTGACCCCATCATCCCCCTGCGCACCAAGACCACCAAGGAGTTTCAGTGAGTGTCCAGTCCCTGAACTGGGACCCGAAAACATTCAAACTTTTGCTAAAAAGTCCAGACAAGAAAACCCAACTCACTTCTGCTTCTCTAAAGAATTGAAAACAAACACTATGTAATGAGCCGGTTCTGGTTTGTGTTTTAAGCATTGTTTATGTGTGTTTGTGTTGCCAGGGAGGACATGGAGCGTGCCGTCCAATCAGGGGACTGGAGGGAGGTCCGAGAGTTTTACCTGACCACTTTCGACTCCTTCATAGAAATCAATGCTGCCTTCAAGGTAGGACACATAAACACACTCACAGTTGTCTCTCAGCAGAATGCCCGTTGTGAGAAAAGTGTTTTAGGTAAATTTCACCAGATGCCGTAACTGTTTTACGATGGGAAAGCAATTTTTCCTCCTTTTTTCTCATGCTCTCTCCTTTCCTTTTCTTTCCTCCTTTTCCTCCCCCAGCGAGAGGCGAACGGGTCGTTTAACACCATAGACGACTCGGGAGTCAACGCCAAGTTTGTCAACGCCGTTTACGACGCGCTGCTCAGCACAGTAAGCGTGATTTCACACAACAAGAACTCACCTACCGACACATTCACGCCGTCAAACTGCTTCCTAATCTGTTGACCGTTTGATGCTTTAATGACACGTTTCTGGTTGGAGATTTGAACCAGCGACATCAAGTCTGTAACTGAGTTTGTAGACTCGTTCTATAAAACGTATTTTAACAATAAGTTTTCCCTGGTTCCTTCAGGTCAGTTGACTCAGTGATTTTAAAAAGCAGCCTTGAAACGCTTCGGGTCGTCCTAATAAACACTTGTGTGCTCTCCAGTGACCTTTGTGGTTAAGAAAAGATGAGATAAATGCGGTGGCCGGTGTTTTCATTTCTCCTCGTGGGTCTGTGACATCTCGGGTTGTTGATTCAACCCTCTAATTCATCGTGTGTGTGTTCAGCCTCAGGACATCCAGAAGTCGGTGTTGAAAGGGATCATCAACAGCCTGCTGAGGGAGTGGAAAGGGTGAGAAGACTTCCTGCTACACATCTGACTTTTTTATTAGAATTAGATCATCCACATTTTCTTTTTCCAAATTTTATTTTTTACTTGTTTATCTCTTTTATTATTTGTGTAATTTCCAAACAAATCAAAATCTATTTAAATCATCTTATGACTGGGAATCATTAGCAACATGGACACGGTTGCTAAGCGAGTGATACTCCAGTGTCTTAGGGAATTAATTCACAAAGTCAGAGCTAGCCAAACTCAGCTGTGTGCTTTGCCTGACAGGTTTCTGTGTTTTTCTGTCTTCAGGCCTCGGACGAAGGACGACCTGCGAGCGTATTTCATCCTGGTTCAGGTGAGACGGTCCAAGGTGTCCTGTTATATGGAAACAGTGGACAAGGTGGCGGGACACAGAGTGCAGCCGCACTGACCTTTATTTCTCTTCTATCTGGTTTATGGACACGGGCCAATGGCAATATTGACGAGCTGTGTGGAAATGATTGTCCTGTTTATTTTTGAACTTGTGTTGACAGGCGGTTTGAAACAGACACTGTGTTCTCCTGTAGGAAGGAGGTTAAACTGTTGAACTATGTGTTTCAGCTTCCTGATGTACAGTTGCATCAGTAGCACAAACTGCTTCATGCATTTTCTTTGTTTCTGATTATTTTCTGTTATTTTTACACTATATTTTTATTAGGACGTTATGTGTTATTGCACATGTGTCTTATAGGATCCTCTAGTGTTTCATGGTTCCCTACTGTAGCTCCTAACTCCTGTCTCCTCCTATAGTGTCTCATGGATCACACAGGGATCAGGCTTTAGAGAGCTGGTCCTGGTCCTGGTCCTGATCTTGATCCTGAATTATCTGATTATTGTATAATCAGATCATTTAAACTGAATAAAGACCCTTTTTATTCTGTTTTTCCTTTGTTTTTTTCTCTCACACCCTTTTTTCTTCTTCTCCTCTCTTTTTCTTTTATCGTCACTAATCCTCCTCTCTCTCTTTTTCTCATTTCACCCTTGATTTCTCTCTGGTTCTGTTTGTGGGTTTTATCCTTGATCTGTCTTTGATCCTGTTTGATCCTATTTTGGATCTCTCTCTCTTTCTCCCTCTCTCTCTCTCTTTCTCCCTCCCTCTCTCTCTTTCTCCCTCCCTCTCTCTCTCTTTCTCCCTCCCTCTCTCTCTCTCTCTCCCTCTCTCTCTCCCTCCCTCTCTCTCTCTCTCTCTCTCTCTCCCTCTCTCCCTCCCTCTCTCTCTCTCTCTCTCTCTCTCTCTCTGTCTCTCTCTCTCTCTCTCTCTTTCTCTTCCCGTCTGATTCCCATATATGGTTTTGAGAATTAGAATCAAATAAAGGCAGGAATCTACAGTAGTTCCACTGTGGTTCCATGCTCCATCAACGCACACACACGCACACACGCACACACGCACACACACGCACACACACACACACACACACACACACACACACACACACACAAATGCCTGATTTTGTCCCGTTTGACTTTGAGGACTCGCCTCGTCTTCCAACTCTCTGGAGAACACAACCACACACACACACACACACACACACACACACACACACAGGGAGTGGGTGAGGTCATGTTGGAGTTGAGGACTGTTGGTTTCCTGTCTGATGACGACTCTCCCTCCTTTATAGGCTCCACGTTCTGTCTCTCTCTCTCTGGTAGAACCCTGTAGAGACCGAGTGGATCTCTTTGGGATTATCTCACTTATTAAGTCATTTGTTAGTATATTTTATTGCGTCCAAACATCAGTCCACCGGTCAGAACCTGGCGTTCTCACAGTCACAGTGAGTCATGAAGGAACAGAGGAATAACAACTGTTTGACTGCAGCTTCAGTCAGAGTTCAGACTCAGTTTGTTGTTGGGAAAGTGACAGATTCCTAAAGACTCGAGACGAGACTCGGGTCGTTATTAATTTGACGAGCGAACATTCAAACTCCAACCGTGTGAGTTAGTTAATGTTGTTAAAGAATCATTTTGGTTTATTTGAACTCTGTTCCTGTTTTCTTGGGGTTTTTTTTCATGATGACGTCATAACACAGTGTGTGTGTGTGTGTGTGTGTGTGTGTGTGTAGAACCCCCAGTACTCGAGCACCAGCACTTACGTGATCTACGCTCACCTGCTGAGGCAGATCGCAGCTTTGTCCGAGGCCGACCACCACTTCCTGGTTCACTGGCTTAAAAAGTAAGTGAGTGTGTGTGTGTGTGTGTGTGTGTGTGTGTGTGTGTGTGTGTGTGTGTGTGTGTGTGTGTGTGTGTGTGTGTGTGAGTTAATCACTGACTTCTATGTTTCTCAACCTTTTGTATTTGTTTGTTTTCTGTCTGTTTTTGACCCAGAAGTTAAAACCTTTAACAGCAGCGTGAACTCAAAGGGACGTTTTCTGTATCTTTGTATTTCTCTGGTGTTGTCATCACTGTTGCTCCTCTGTGGACCGGACTCTGTGCGCAGAGTCGTAGTCTGAACAGACCGAGCAGCCGTCTGAGAGAATGAGTTGTGGTTGTGTAGGTGGATCCTGTCGGTCTCATCCTCGCTGCAGGTGATTGATTGTGAGACGAGAATGTAAATCTGAAGAGTTTCCATCTCTCCCGTCTCATTTTGCTCCGACTCACTTTCTCTTTGCAAATATCTGATGTTTCATCTTCTTTATTTTCCACCTCTAATCTGAGGAGGAGGAGGAGTCATGTTTCCATAAATATCCTTTAGCACCACACTGTCCACCACCGTGTGCCAGTCCCTCCCAGTCTGAAAGAAGAATTATTGATGGACCCGGTTCAGGCTGGATGTATTGATCAGCCTCAGAGAGCTGTGTATCAGATCTCCATACGTTTGGATTTCTGATTCATATCTATGTTTGGCATCCAGCTCTGAAATCTGTCACGAGTTGGAATCAAATGCTGGATGAGATTCTTTGTTTTGATTACTCACTGATTATATTTTTCTTCATGAGCCATAATTCTGTGAATTTTAAAGGTCCCATATTGAATAAAATGAGATTTCCATGTTCAGGGACTCTGAGCTGATTTGTTGCTAAAACTCGCTTTAACTTATATGGAGGCAAATAAAAAACTATATGAGGATCCAAAGAGGCAGTAACGTGGCTTGTTGCACAACTTATAGTCAGAAGTACATATACTATATTATGATTTAAAGCTCCTCCAGTGTAAAGGTCTGTGTCCATGTGTAGTGTGATTATAGATCAGGTCTAGCTTCTATATTAATACTGTGAAAGTATCAAAGCCTCAGTCCACAGAGAAATGCACACAGCCTGTATTCAGAAACTGAGCCTTAAAACCAGCCGTCAGGACTTCTGGAACTTTGTGATGTCACAACAAAGCAGTCACCAAGCCCCGCCCACCTGGACCCACCATCCAAACCTTGCAGGATTTGGTTTCTCTGAGTGTTTTTACCTGAAATCTGCTTTATTTTTATTGGATCACTCAGAAAACAGTCAGCCAATCAGAAGAGAGGCTCAGAGCCTCCTCTCTTCTGATTGGCTCACCGACCTGTTGTTACTAGAGCTCCAGAGAGAAGCCTGAGAGAGGAGATGTAAAACTACACTGAGATGGTTTTCATATCTAAAACTTCAAATAAAAAGTATAAAATATGGGACCTTTAAACTTTAAGACAAATGAAACTTGATTGATATCTGCAGTAAAATGAAATTTGGATTCAAACAATACGCAGCCTCTTAATACAGAGGACGTATTGTTTGCTGCTTTTCATTTCTGTTTTCATGGCAGGCTGAAAAGAAAAGAGAGAAAGACTCCTTTGTGTGTTTTAAACAACAACAGAGACTCGATCTGTGACAGAGACTCAGAGAGACGAGCGTCTTTAAACCGGTGTCCAGCATTTTCCCTCTCTGCGTCTCCGTGTTCATTTATCTTATTCTCACATTAAACATTTCTCCACCTCGTCAGATCCCGGAGCTCGCAGATGTCAAGCAGCTCCTGAACGTCTCTGTCTCTGCCTGAATTAGAAAAGCGGAGGAATTCGTGCTGATGTTTGTGGTGATGATTTACAAGCGAGCTGCTTCAAATTACAAGTTCTGTTTAGTTCTGCTCAAAGCGTTTCTGCATCCAGCGCTGCCGTTTCCTCCCCCTTCACGTGTGAGGCTCTATTTCTGTGCATATGTATATTTCAGGGTATGTGCAGGTTTCACTGCCAAGCTTCTGATGTGAACCAGTATTATCTGTGTGTGTGTGTGTGTGTGTGTGTGTGTGTGTGTGTGTGTGTGTGTGTGTGTGTGTGTTGTCAGGCTGTCAGCACGGCGCTTCAGGCAGCTGGTAGAGCGCCTCCTGCAGTTCATCTCCACCCGTCTGTTTCCTGCAGAACCAGACGAACTTCCTCCTCTCGCCAAGTGCTCCTGGTGGATTCCCTCCGCCACCAAAGTGCTCAGCCTCTTCAGTGAGTCACACACACACACACACACACACACACACACACACACACACACACACACACCTTAACAATATTATTTAGTTTTATTTGTTTGTTTTATTCAACGTTCTCTCTTGGGCTCCTCCCCTCAGACGCAGCCAACAGCGTCTCCTCTCCTCCCATCATGCCTTTCACCGACTTCTACAACATCACTCTTGAGCACATCGACTTCATGGAGGAGTACAGGACCTGGCAGAACTACGGCAACTCAAACAGGTCAGACGACCGTCCCGTCTCTCTCTTCCTGTCCAGTGTAACCATTGAACTCACCGGGTTCTCCGTCAGTCTGATGGAAATATTCTCTGATTTTTAGGAGGAAAAAAAGTTGTTTTTCCACTTGTGAACAAAGTTAGGTTTCAACTAACTTCAGAAAAATTACCCAGTGTTCTTTGAGCCCACTCTGCAGAGCAGCAAAGTGGGAGGGGTTATATCAGGTGTCCTGGCAACAAGGTGAGGTGACAGTTGGAGGATTTAACAGGATAAAACAGAGACCAATATCAATGATCAATAATCCAAATCAGAGAAAAGCAACATTTTATATGAATATCTGGTTTTATCAACTAAAATGAATCCATTAATCATTTCAGCGCTAAACAATAAGAACAAGAAGTTGGTTTGTTTCAGTCGAGCTGTCACGGTATCAGATTTTCACTCCATCATTATCGTCACCACTTTATTTACATTATTAAAGAGTTGAACAGTGACTTTGCTCTCGCCTGCTAACGAGGACCAGCAATGCTAACAGATGTTACAACGCATTAGCTTGACTAGGCTCCACCCATGTCCTGAGCGCGGACGAGGTAACGTTCCCGCAGCTGCAGCTTCTCCACAGCCGTGGAAACGCTCTCAGAAGCCGTGAGGTCTGTTTCACGCCGCGTCACAGCTCGTTAGCGTCCGATAAAGGAAACGGATCCAGAGTTTACAGTTCAAACGAGCGGCCTGAAAAGTTCCTGCAGGCTGTGGTCGGGGATTCTGCTTCATTCTGGGTTTGGAGGGTGTAGATTTCAGAACCTGCTCGTTCCTGTGAAGCATATAATTTTAAAAACACTTGAGAGGAATGAAGTCTCTTTTTGTTCTGCTGACTTTAAAGAAAATATGTTTTTGTAACTGATGGCAGCAAAACATTAAAAAAAAGAAAAAGCTTTTCTTTGTGTTTTACTTTTCATATTTCTTCTCTTTCACCTCTCAGATTTTCCTTCTGTCAGTTTCCCTTCATCCTCTCAACGGTGGTGAAGAAAGCCATCATCCAGAAAGACTCCGAGCAGCAGATGATCAGTCAGGCCAGGGTGAGACACACACACACACACACACACACACACTTACATACACACACTTATCTTCAAGCCCCTCCCCTAACCATAACCCAGCCTTAACTCTTAAACAGCCCGCTGACGAACTGAGGACCAAACGAACATAACGAGGATCAGACCTGAAGTATGTGTGTTTGTGTTTTACAGCAAAGCTTGGTCAGTAAAGTTTCTCGCAGGCAGAGAGTGGACATGAACCTTCTGTTCCTCAACATCAAAGTACGACGAGCGCAGCTCCTCAGCGACTCACTGGATGAGGTCAGTGCACAAACACAACCTTCTCCTCACTGCATCCACGACCCCCACATGTCCCTTGGTGTTCCCTGAATGCCTCACCCGCAGGCTATCAGTAGACGCTACAATTTACAGATGTCCTTTCAACGCCTCGCATTCAGACTATCGGTGGATACTAGAATTTACAGATTTCCTCTGAACACTTCACATGCAGACATCAGTAGAACCTACAATTTACAATAGTTCCCTAAATGCCTCACCTGCAGACTATCGGTAGATGTTGCAATTTACAGATGTCCTTTCAACGCCTCGCACTATCAGTGGACGCTAGAATTTACAGACATCCCCTAAACCACTGAGATGCATGTTGTTAGCAGACGCCACAGTTTACAGATGTTCCCTAAATGCCTCACCTGCTGACTGTCGGTAGATAGTAGACGGAACATAACGACATAAAACAGTAATCTTACATGTAATCTGGTTGTTAATCTGGTGAATCTTATTAATTAGTCTTGACTCCTCCCCCTCCAGCTGACGAGGAAGCGGTGCGACCTGAAGAAGAAGCTGCGGGTGACGTTTGTCGGGGAGGCGGGGCTGGACATGGGCGGCCTGACGAAGGAGTGGTTCCTGCTGCTGGTGCGACAGATCTTCCACACAGACTACGGTGAGACTCACTTCAACTTCCCAGAATTCAAAGCACTGTTATACATTACAGCGCGAGCCATCAGCTCACCTGCGGTCTGAGCCGAAGCCGTTTTTACTGAAATATAAACTACGTCCATGAAACGGCCTCGATCGAGCGTGAATGAAGAGAGCGGGAAAATCGGAGGCCGACAACAACAACAGGATCTGGAATCTGGTAAAAACCTGAGTGATGCAAAGTCGGTGGAAAGTGAAGCCGTATTTTATTGAAAACAAGGGGAAAGAAAATCAGATTTTTTATTGGATAGAGATGAAGTTTTTTATTAGATGGAGTCTCGGTGGACAAAGTGCAGCAGGAGTCAGTGTCAGATGGCTGAGGAAAGGGGTCAGTGTTGGTTTTGGATACTGACTTCAGACCAGAGCAGTTCTCACTGTGACTTCTCCTCCGTCTCCTCTCCTCTCGTTACCGACGGCTGGACTCAGATTTCCTCTCTCTCTCTCTCTGGGTCGTTCTCCTCCTGAAGCGACTCCGGATGAGTTCGTATCCTGTAGGCGAGTGACCGTAGTTTGTGAAAGAAGATGGACGTCGCCTCTGTGACGTCACCCACAGGTTTCTGAAGCTCAGAGTGAGCTGCTCCCCTGTCGCCGTCTTGGCAGCACCTGTAAACAGCTGCTGCAGTTTCTATCAAATGGAAGGAGGAAACTATTTTCAGCAGCGGATTAATCCACATTTCGTTCTCTAGTGAGGATTTCTGAGTCAGAATAAACCGCAAACATAAACTTTATTTAAACAGCACTTTTCATACAGGTTAGTGCAGTTCAAAGAGCTTCACAGCTCAAAAGAAAAAGGACAAATCAAGAAAAGAAAGCTGAGGAACAATAACATCAGCAAACAAAAAAAGAAAATTAATAATTAAAAAAAGTGATAAAATACAATAAAATACAATTTTGAACATTATTATAATAAAATAAGTGAATAAAATAAAGTGATTAATGACTGAAAACCATATTTAATGAATGCCAGGCTGAAGAGGAACGTTTTGAGTTTACAGCTAAAAATTTCCAACAGTTGCTTATTTTGTTTTTGGACAGTAATGGCGTCTAGTGCATCAGACTTCGACTCACACAACAATCATTTCACTGTCTGTTTGGATCTTTTTTATTGTTTCTTGACAATAAGAATCTGAGCAGCAGCCGAACCGCCTGATTTAACGAGCTGGTCGTACATTCCAGTGGTGATTTAACCAGTGTGTTCACCACTTTGAAACTGGTGGCTCTTTGCAGATGTCGGAGTGTTTTCTGTTTTTCATATTTGGTCGATTGAATCAAGAGAAATAAATTCAGCAGCGTTCTGAGGCTCCGAGGAGTCGACTCAAATCCAGTTTGAATGTAGGTGAAATGTGAGCGAACACGTCTCAAGATGAACTTTCTGTCCTTGTTTCCATCACTGTCGCTCCAATATTTCCTTTAACCACAAGAAACACTCATGTGAGGATTAAAACCGAACTTCAATATTGATGTAGAAATTTCTCCAAGATTTTGCTGCAGTTTCGATTCAACTCCGTCGTTCAGTTCACTGGAATTTGCTTAAAAAAATCCTTCAATGGAAATGAAGCAAAGGTCTGTCTCTCTCTCTCTCTCTCTCTCTCTCTCTCTGTCTCTCTCTCTCTCTGTCTCTCTCTCTCTCTCTGTCTCTCTCTCTGTCTCTCTCTGTCTCTGTCTCTCTCTCTGTCTCTCTCTCTCTCTCTGTCTCTCTCTCTCTCTCTGTCTCTCTCTCTGTCTCTCTGTCTCTCTGTCTCTGTCTCTCTCTCTCTCTCTCTCTCTCTCCTCTGGTCGGTTGTTCTTTCCATCGTCTCTCCATCTTTCCGCGGTCGTCTGTGTTTTCGGTGCCAGGGAACGTCGGCCCAGAGCAACACACTCAACGAAAGCTGTGTTCCCCTCATTAGCAGCGCAGGGAAAGCCCCGTTTCTGCTTCACACACACACACACTCGCAGGTGTACACACACACACACACACACACACAGGCTCTTTTATGCGTGAAGCGGTGTCAGTTTCTGGTGTTCAGAGATGTGAGCGGTCCAGATGTGTCTCGGCTCAGAACAGACCGCTGCTGTTTCTCAGTCTGAGCGGAGAACGCTTCACTGTTCTCTTCAGTTTGTTCTATTTAAAAACCTGCTCATTATCCTGTTTCTATTTTTGTTATTTCTTTATTTTATCACTGACACTTGAAGACGTCGACTCTGGGCATGAAGAGAATCAGGGCCGAGTATCACCACTGATTTCCTCAATCGATTCAATTCTGATTCACAACGTCCTGATTCAATTTGAATATAATAAAATATTAGTGTTTATATTTAAAGCTCCATGTTTCTTCTTCTGTGTTTTATTTGAAGTGTTGATCCATCAGAAGATATAAAAACCATCTCAGTGTAGTTTTACATCTCCTCTCTCAGGCTTCTCTCTGGAGCTCTAGTAATAACAGGTCGGTGAGCCAATCAGAAGAGAGGAGGCTCTGAGCCTCTCTTCTGATTGGCTGACTGTTTTCTGAGTGATCCAATAAAAATAAAGCAGATTTCAGGTAAAAACACTCAGAGAAACCAAATCCTGCAAGGTTTGGATGGTGGGTCCAGGTGGGCGGGGCTTGGTGACTGCTTTGTTGTGACATCACAAAGTTCCAGAAGTCCTGACGGCTGGTTTTAAGGCTCAGTTTCTGAATACAGGCTGTGTGCATTTCTCTGTGGACTGAGGCTTTGATACTTTCACAGTATTAATATAGAAGCTAGAGCTGATCTATAATCACACTACACATGGACACAGACCTTTACACTGGAGGAGCTTTAAATCTGAAATGCAGCCACACATCTGCCTTCAGTGGAGCAGCGTCGGCCATGTTTTTGTCTCCCATGTGACCAGATCTCGTCACGTGAGAATAGCAGGGAGACGTATAGAAATATAAATTAAATATCAATTGATATCTGAGATTTTTTAGTAATTCTTCTTTTTCTCTCTTTAATTAAATGTAATTTATAATATTGGTATTTCTGTCCTTCCTCCATTTATTTTATTTTTCTTTCTTTTCTTTGTGTCTTTGATTTGTGCTTTTCTTCTTTCCCTCCTCTCTCTGTCTTTCCATCCGTCCTTCATGTCTTTATTTCCTAACTCTATAATTTCATGTTACTCCTCTATTTGTTCATAATTCCTTCATTTAGCACATTTATCCTTCTTCTTTCTTCCTTCCTTCCATAAAGTTTGTTTCTCTCTTCCTTCCTTTCATTCACCTTCCTTTTGTTTCCTCCTCCCTTGCATCCTTGCCTCCTTTCCTCCCTTCCTTCTCTCTGTCATCCCTCAGGAATGTGTGGAATCTAATCCTGGGTGATGTTTCTGTTCATGTTTCAGGGATGTTCACCTACATGAAGGACTCGCGCTGCCATTGGTTCAGCAGTTGGAAGTGTGACAACTACTCTGAGTTCCAGTTGGTCGGGACTGTATCCTTCATTAGAACCAACAGCAGCGAGGAACTCTAATGAATCTCTGTTTCAGAACCACTTCCTGTCGCTCTGTTTATTGGTCCGAGTCTTTTAGAGTCTGCGGCTTTAATTTGAATCTGAATTTGCTGTTGCTGGATTTAAACATGAAGGTGTCGTTGTTTCGATGTTTATCTGGGTTCAATAAGAGGAGAATGAGCTTTGGGACAACCGAGGTTTTACATTTAGTTTGTCTGTGGAGTCGTCAACGTTTCTTCCACGAGCTCGTTTCGCACAAACAGACCACGTTAGCATTTTAATGCTCTTTCATTAAATCCATTATATTCATAGTTCTTCAGCGGTTTGTCTCTGTGGTGTTTTGTGGATCACACACGAACACAAACAGACACTCTGCGATTTCATTTTCCCTCCTCCTTCTTCTTCTTCTCATATTACAGACAGATGCTCTGAATAAAAACATCTCAACCTAAAGAATAAAAGTAAAATAAAAGTCTTTTTGTTTTAAATATTGAGTTTGACTGTTAGCAGCCGCCGCACTGACAGAATACAGATGTTTGGTCGAACTAGTGAACGCCACTCACTGACTGTGTGTTTGTCGGCTTGGACTCAGACTGATCTCAAATCAGCTGTTTCTGCTTTACTGTTTCTCTGCTCATGGACAGTATCAACATACTGATAATAATCACTGTGCACAGACCTGAGATCTGCCGCTCTCTGCAGAGAACATGCAGCAGCTTTGTCTCCAAGATATGATCTTTATATTCTGCTGATTTCCAGCCTCAGTTATATTCATTTTTTCTATTTAGATAAGTGCGTTGTTTGTGCGCTGCACAGCGGACTGGCAGGGTGCAGGACCTGCAGGTGGGTGGCATTGTGTTTCCTTTAACCAGTGTTTGCTGTGTCAGATCAGCAGCGTTCTTCTTCTTCATTTCTTAGGACCAGAGTTTTATCCAGCAGCGTACGGAGTGATCGGGGTGGTCAGGTGGACAGGAAGCTAACATGCTAACGTGCTAACGTGCTGGTGCCGCACACGGGGCTGTGATTAGTGTTAATTGTTCACTTGCTCGGATGTGTCCTCGGCTCCTTTTCCACTGGTTTAAAGAGGAAACGCTGTGACCCGCTAACACCAGGCTCTGTCGTCATGGAAAAGGGAACAATCGGCGTTCAGTCCCGGGTCACATGACTCAGCAGTAGACGCAGATATTTGTCGGCTCCGGTTCGATCAGCAGTGACGTAAACACAACACCCGGGAGAACAGGCTCATTTTAGAAAGATAGATACTTTATTTATCCCCTCGGGGAAATTCATGTGTCCATTAGCTCATTGGTAATAATAATAATAATAATAATAATAATAATAATAATAATAATAATAATAATAACAGTTAATAATAAATAATAAACAATAATAATTAAATCAGTCGACTTCCTGTGGCTCAGGTGTTGTAATGCCTGATGGCCTTTTCCGTCTTTCAGAGCACAGACACTGTAAACACAACTGTCACCTGTCCAGGTGTGTGTGTGTGTGTGTGTGTGTGTGTGTGTGTGTGTGTGTGTGTGTGTGTGTGTGTCCTCTGTCTGTGGTATAAAAGGAGTCAATCACCTTTTTTAGTGGTTTTACTCACGTTGAAAAAAACCTGCTTATACCTGCTAATGTTGGTGGGAAAATGGTTTATGTTTCCACTAACGGTGTTTGTTTTTGTTTGTTTGTTTGTTTGTTTGTTTGTCAGTAAGATCACACTAAGTGATACTCACCAAACTCAATGGAAGGATGGGGGACGGGCAAGAGAAGAACTCATTAGATTTCAGGACAGATCCGGATCATCTACTATAAATTGTTTCCTCTGGAGTCGGGTGCGTGTTGTTGGACCTCGGTCTCGGCGGAGGTCTGCGCTCTCCGACACGACTTCTAATCGATGTTATTGATTTATTATTTGTCTCATACAGAATGATGCGTTTCTGTGAAACACAATTTTCACGTTAGCAGTCTCTGCTGTTGTAAAATGCACTTCAGGACAATGTGCATGTGTGTATATGTCTGCCTGTGTGTGTGTGTGTGTGTGCGTGTGTGTGTGTTTGTGTGTGTGTGGGTGTGTGTGTGTGTGTGTGTGTGTGTGTGTGTGCGTGTGTGTGTGTGTGTGTGTGTGTGTGTGTGTGCGTGTGTGTGTGTGTGTGTGTGTGTGTGTGTGTGCGTGTGTGTGTGTGTGTGTGTGTGTGTGTGTGTGCGACTAAAGAACAATCCAGCAATTTAGCCTTAGTTACTAGCCAGCTGGGAACTGTCAAAAGGTTATATAACCTAATAGCTGCCTGTTCCTTGCCAGGTTATTTTGTGTGTGTGTGTGTGTGTGTGTGTGTGTGCACGTGCGTGCGTGTGTGTGTGTTTGGTTTAGGACAGTGAGCGAGCAAGGAAAAAAAGTCAGATGGAGAAAACAAGACAGAGAAAAAGAAATGAAAAGGTGGGACGTGTGTGTGTGTGTGTGTGTGTGTGTGTGTGTGCGTGCGTGCGAGCATGCACGCTCCTGGGTGTTCCATGCATGTTCCACATGTGTGCTTTTGCTAAGAGCTAATTTATCAATCTCCCTCGTTCCTGTTTGGTTGTCATGGCAGCGTTGCGTCACTATGGAGATGGAGCTGTGGCGAGGAAGAGGAGGAGGAGGAGGAGGAGGAGGAGGAGGCCGGAGAGAAAATGTTCTAACAGGGAAAGAGTGAAAGCAGCAGAGCGAGACAGAGATAAATGAAAAGCAGAGGGAGGTGTAGAACGGAAAGACGATGGACAAACAGATGTTTACACAAAGGAACAAACACCGATGAGAAAACAGGAAGTAGAGAGACAAAGTGAGACAGGAAGTAGAGAGATGAGAGGGACTCCTGTGATGGAGGCTACAGGTTGGCTGTGTGGGACTTTGATTAAACACAAATGAATTTAGGAATAAGAAACATCTGAGCACAACGAAATAATGAGGAACAGGGTCCCGACATCAGACGGTAAAGAGCAGAACTAAAAGAAGCTACGCTAACCTGGAATAAAAGAGTCATGAACGCAACGTAAAAAGGTAAAAAAAAACACATTTCCCAAACAGAATTATATTTAGTCAAATTAATAAAAACCAGCTTCTAGATACTGAACCTGCTGCTTTTAGGACCCAGGGCAGTTTTTAGGGCCCTGCTTTGTTTGGTGATGCAGCTCTCGACGACAAGTAGAGGAGGAGCAAACCATCCAAACCATCAGTCGAGGGAAGTTTTTGCCAAGGCTGAACAATTGAGGAAGATTAGATAATTGAGAGGTAACCACCTGGAGATGCACATAATCACCTAAATATCTACATGTGCTCCTTTTTTCGTACGTCTCAATCTTTGTGAAAGCTGCAGAAGCCGAGCATGGTTTACATGTGAGGGAAGTAAATAAAAGTGATCTGGGTATGAGAGTTTTGGAGAATCCGGCGCATGTAAACATCTTATTGTGGTTAGCTAGTGCCATGACAACACAGTAGGGCTTTATAGGGCAACATCTCAGTTTTACCTGAGATCACCTGACAGGTTAAAATAATCAATCATTATCGGATAAACTGATTGTTCATGTCTTTTTAAAGCTGCATGTTTTCTTCTTCTTCTTCTGTGTTTTATTTGAAGTGTTGATCCATCAGAAGATATAAAAACCATCTCAGTGTAGTTTTACATCTCCTCTCTCAGGCTTCTCTCTGCAGCTCTAGTAACAACAGGTCGGTGAGCCAATCAGAAGAGAGGAGGCTCTGAGCCTCTCTTCTGATTGGCTGACTGTTTTCTGAGTGATCCAATAAAAATAAAGCAGATTTCAGGTAAAAACACTCAGAGAAACCAAATCCTGTAAAGGTTTGGATGGTGGGTCCAGGTGGGCGGGGCTTGGTGACTGCTTTGTTGTGACATCACAAAGTTCCAGAAGTCCTGACGGCTGGTTTTAAGGCTCAGTTTCTGAATACAGGCTGTGTGCATTTCTCTGTGGACTGAGGCTTTGATACTTTCACAGTATTAATATAGAAGCTAGAGCTGATCTATAATCACACTACACATGGACAGAGACCTTTACACTGGAGGAGCTTTAATGTTTTTATATTAGTTGTTTTCAGGCTTTTTCACCAATGAAGCAACATGAAGTTTAAGAACCAGTCTGTCACACAGAAGGAAGAGGGTAGAAAAGAGAGAGAGAGATTGATTCATGTCTTTCCCATAAAGTGAAGATATATAAACGAGGGCCTCCAAATGCTTTCTGTTGCACTCTCTTTGATATCTGTGTGTGTGTGTGTGTGTGTGTGTGTGTGTGTGTGTGTGTGTGTGTGTGTGTGTGTGTGTGACTTCTTAATGACCTTAATGGTCGTGGTAATTGTACAGTTTATGTTTATTTTCATGTCGATGCTTTTGAGTGTGTATAGGTGTGTGTGTGTGTGTGTGTAGAAAAGGATTTATTTGTGTGTGTTACCTACGCACAAACCTACATTCAACCTACACATACAATTACACCACATATGGTCACCACATGTGGCAGCTAAGAGCACTTTGTGTGTGTGTGTGTGTGTGTGTGTGTGTGTGTGTGTGTGTGTGTGTGTGTGTGTGTGTGTGTGTTTCATGCCGCCGCCCTTTGGACGTAAATGGAAAAAAAATTGCAGGTGGATGGGACATTCAGTACATGAACTCGCCGTCGCCTGGCCACACACACAAAAAATTACACAATGAAGTCATTCATCTACATTACACTCATTCTGCCATAAAAGAAAAAAGACTGGCTGGTCTTTTTGAGTTCACGTACATGCACACACACACACACACACAATCACACACTCTCTTTCTCTCTCACACACACACACACACACTCTCTCTCTCTCTCTCTCACACACACACACACACACACACAGTGGCTCAGCAGTCTGTCGAATGAAAGCTGAAGTCTACGTTAGCTACGTTAGCTACGTTAGCATTGTAATTGGATTTCCAGCTCCATGTTTGTGTGAAGAACCTGTGTTAGCTTCTGTTCCTCCAGCTTTGAGTCACTTTGTGTTTTCACTGAGGTTTTATTTCACATCTGAATCACGTTTCTGAAGTTTCTTTAATCCAGATTCAAAAAACATTTTGACAAAGATAAAAACAAAGATTATGTTATTACGGTCAATTAATACTGAATGTTTCCCATGAGCCTTAGCTCAGAGGTGACCTGTCAACCTGTCAGACCTTCAGTCGTTGCTTCTGATTTCTGAAACAAAACAACATGGCGGCCATTATGGAGATCTTTCACCAGATATCCGGTGAAAGGATTTGACAGTTAGAGGTCATAGGTCAATCTGTGACATCATGTCAGCTGTTACAGGCCGTTAGAGACTCCTGGTGAGGGTTTTATTTGTTTGTAATAATTATACTATGTGTACTATATGTGTCAAAGTGAATGTAGTAAAGACTTTCTCATGTTCACATCTGGACGCTGTAAATTCAAACATCTGTACCGACATAGAAACTAACAGCTGACAGCAGTGACGTCCTTAACCTGCTCTCTGTCCAGCTGATGGGCTTAGCAGTTTACAACAGCATCGCTCTGGACATCCACTTCCCTCTCTACTGTTACAGGTAAGAGTGTGTGTGTGTGTGTGTGTGTGTGTGTGTGTGTGTGTGTGTGTGTGTCTAAAAAGCAGCAGCAGGAACGTTTATCTCGAATTTAATGCAACTTGTAATTTAGTTTAATTATTTCTGAATGTTTACCCTCCCTCGCAGGAAACTCCTCACTCCACCCACTGTACCATGTGACCAGAATGCCCTTGTTGGCATGGCAACCGCCACCCTGGACGACCTGCAGCAGATCATGCCAGTAGGTGTCTTAAACCCCCCCCCACTGTGATGAAATACGAGCTTAGAAACAAAGACTAAAGTCTGAAGAGAGAGAACTTTAGTTTAATTCTAACCTGCACGATTCAATGGAAACAAAGTGAAGTCCTTTAGGGAGGGAAATAAAGATAACACACTAAAATAATGTGGTTGCATAAGTGTGCACACCCTCTTCTAACTGTGCTCACAATTATCCAATCACATTCACACTCATGTTAATTAGTAGTCAGTACAAACGTGTTGTCAGTTAAAGTGACGAATTGAAGCTCAGCTGTTCTCGTAGGATTTTTCTGACGTCTTCTTCTCACAGTGAAAGTTCTGATTTATCTTGGGCTCTTTTTAACAGCAGCGTGTCGATGTTTTATATCCTCTGTACCTGCACACACACTCACTTGTGTTAAACTCTTTTCATGTCTGAGTCTTTCCTGCCAACACCTGCATTCACCTGGTCGGCCACTAGAGGGCGCCAGAGTTACACCTTTAATCTCTTTCACCCTGCTAATCCCTTTAATCACCATCGTTAGATGATACACTGCTCTGCACTTCTACCATACTACTGTATCTCTCCATTGTATATTCTTTCATGCATATTTCTGTGTTGATTTTGTAAACATTTTTTGAAATAATGTGAAAAGTACACCATGTTCTTTCCCCTGTGGATCCATGCGCATCAAACACTCGACTCGTCCAGGTTTTTCTCCACAGATGATGCGTTCCGGTTAAATTCACACCGAACGACGACTTAGAAAGTCGAGTTTCGGTGGTTTGAGTGTTCCCAGATGTGAAGCCTACACACACACACATACACACACACACGCACACACACACACACACATTTACATTTTCCATGAGACTCCTGTGTGCCGAGGTTTATATGAGCATGATAACATCCCTGAAGTGTTGTTATTTGGTTCTTTCACGCAGCTGTTTGTGCAGCCACAGCACGGTGAACAGAGACGTCTGTGAGTTGAAGCAGCTGGAGCCTGTTTTCATTCACATTGACAGAGAAGCTGCATTCAGAGATGAACCGTATCATACATGCAGTTGCTAAAAGAGACTGAGGGGCCTTCGAGCAAGGCTTTAAACTCTGCAGAGACCTGCTGCAGGAAGCTCACAGTGTGACAGCAGCAACAGCTCAGTGTCATGCAGCAGCAGAGGGAGAAAGATCCTCACACACACACACACACACACACAGAGGAGGTGCTATAACTGGCCTTCTGGTTATGTAACAACAGGACACCAGATATGAGGCTGCAGTTGGCAGCGGCACCAGAACTCTGGTGACTGCACACGAACAAGCTCCATTCAAACATGAATCTGATCCAGTGGCTCTGCTTCAGAAACATCAGAATGTTTAACACTGCAGTCACATGGTCTCTGAAACAGTGCAGTTAGACAAACAGGGAATAAACAGTGGATGGATGGATGGATGGATATTTAAGAAAACTTTAAATCAGGATTTACAGAATGAAGTTTAATCTAAGAAGTTGCGTTCACTAATACAGATGTGCTGCGAAGAGAGAAATGTTAATGAAAAGATCCTCAGGTGATGATGATGATGATGATGATGATGATGATGAAGATGATCAGTGGCAGGTGAAGACTCACCGTCCAGCTCTTGTGGAGGTTGTTTAAAGTTCCGCACCTTCAGATGTGAGTGTGTGAGGAGGAGCTTTGGCGGTGACACCAGGGGATGGACGTCTTCCTGTCAACTCTTCTTCTGTCTCTGTAACTTCCTGCTGCCAGTTGCTCCGACAGATCTGACGCTGCCTCCTGTGTGTGTCTGCAGGAGCTGGCTCACGGGTTGGGAGAGCTGCTGAGCTACGAGGGGAACGTGGAGGAGGATTTCTACCTCACCTTCCAGGTGAGAAAAACTGCACTGACAGTAAAGCTGCAGGAGTTACTCAACTCCGCTGCTTGCAGAGCCATTTTGTTCTCGGGTCGTCCCGTTCTCGTGGACACGATATCTCAGAAACACCTTGACGAAACTTCTTCAAATTTGGCACAAACATTCACTCACTCAAGGACGAACTGATTACATTTTGGTGGCCAAAGGTCAAAGGTCAAGGTCACAGTGACCTCGCTAAACAAAGTTTTGGCCTTCACATTTGGCACAAGACTCGAGGAAACACGAAAGGCTTTTTAACCATAACTCTTCACACAGCAACAAAGACAAACTTTCACACAAAGGGTTAATATATATATATATATATATATTTATATATATATATATATTAAATAATATTTATATTTAATCTGAAAGCAGTCTGAGCAGCGGAGGCAGACGACCACGAGGCGGCGATTCTACTTCCTCTTGTTTAAAATCGTGAAGGGAAAAAGAAACAGCTGTAGTGTGTCAGTTTGTGTGATCAGCTGTTCAAATAAAACTGTAAATAATGACTTTATTGGTTTTTATTGATCACAGGTGTGAGAAGGATATGAGTACATTTAAAAACTCTACAGGGACAACACACACACACACACACACACACACACACACACACACTCTCTCCACAGATGTCATGATTAAAGTGTCTCGGCATGTCGTGCATGACTTGCTGACAGTCAGCTCTCTCTGCTGTGCAGCTTTATTTAGACCAGGATGTGATGCGGATCAATAGGTCTGGATCTGATATTTGTTTTTGTTTAACCATCAGGAGTCAGAGTTTCAGTCGCTACGAGGGGTGTGGTTCCAAATATCTTACATGTTCTCACAAAGCGATTAACAGGAAGTAATGACCATGTTTGGGGCAGGATGAAAACTTTCAAAAGCTGAGATTAATAAAGATTTATTCTTTAAATCAATAAGTTCCCTGATTTAAATATATTGTATTTTATTCAAGCTACGTTTTGTAAAACTGCTTTTGTTCAGACGATAATTAACGACTCTTTATCAGCTACTTCAGGACATTATCTGTGTGTCAACGATGTGTTTTAATTTGTAGTTAACTGAAAACACATTTCCTGTGAACATCTAAATGAAGTGGTGAGTTGCAGTGTGAGTAGAAGCTGCTCAGTAATGATCTGAAACATGACTCAGCTCCTCGCCCTCAGCGTTACATGACGTGACATCAGCAGGTTTCTGAGCTCGCTGCTCCTGAGCGGAGTAACCACATATAATGGGGGCTTTGTGCAGCGTGTGTGTGTGTGTGTGTGTGTGTGTGTGTGGGGGGGGGGGGGGGGGGGGGGGGTTATGTATGAAGCAGGAACATATGTGGGCAGCAGCATTATGTAAAGGCCTGAGTGGAGGTGTTATTTTACCCCAGTGTGTGAGCCGACCGTGAGCTATAGGCCGGTCACAGTCACACCACCGCGGTGCTGACGAACCCGCTGACCCACCAACACTGGACCCCTCTCTGTCCGTCACGTCTGGAGCTCCCACCACCAGCTGTCACTCCCAATATTTTCTCTGTGTGTTTGTTCATCACTGTGTAACCTTCACTGTATTTATACACTCCAGTGTCCACACACACACACACACACACATGCACACACACACACACACACACCTTTCTATACTTAAACCCAGAGTTTATTAAAATACCATAATGTATTGATTGTAGATAAAGATAGCCGACACGTCTCCACTTCCTGTCACTGTTCAAAAATGAAGCCAGAATCTCCCGCGCACGAGCGCTGCCATGTTGCTCCGGTGACATCATTTAAAGCCAGATTCTGCGCTGTAGCGAACAGGAAGTGGAGGTCCCGCCCATATGCCTGCTCCACCCAATCACGAGTCAATCACAGCTGTCAATCATGACGTCTGACTCCTGGTTTATAGCATCAAATAACTAATTAAATCCCCATCATGTCGGCCTGGCTCCTCTTCACCGGCTCCCTGTCCGGCTTAGAATTGATTTTAAAGCTCTTGCGTTTTCTTCTTCTTCTGTGTTTTATTTGGTGAGCCAATCAGAAGAGAGGAGGCTCTGAGCCTCTCTTCTGATTGGCTGACTGTTTTCTGAGTGATCCAATAAAAATAAAGCAGATTTCAGGTAAAAACACTCAGAGAAACCAAATCCTGCAAGGTTTGGATGGTGGGTCCAGGTGGGCGGGGCTTGGTGACTGCTTTGTTGTGACATCACAAAGTTCCAGAAGTCTTTTAACAGTGTTTTCAAAAGGGTTAAATTCTTCTATAATCATAACCCGTGTGTGTGTGTGTGTGTGTGTGTGTGTGTGTGTGTGTGTGCGTGCGTGCATGCTGCAGGTGTTCCAGGAGGAGATGGGCGTCGTCAAATCCTACAACCTGAAGCCCGGTGGAGACAAAATTCCTGTCACCAAGCAGAACAGGAAGGGTGAGTCCACGCCGAGAGTCACGGCAGGAGAAATGAGTTGCAGGACGGTCAGCGCTCAGAGTCTCAGAGTTCATACCTGCATGAACCTGCTCAGTGTGAACACAAATAAAAAGGTGTTTAAATGTGGAGCATCATGTGAGCAGCGACACTCAAACCCGGCTCGGCCAAAAAGCTGCTATTGTTGCTGTGAAGACGATGACTTTTTATTTCTCCTCTTAAAACCTTATTTTCCACCCCGGCCCGGCTCTGGGCCGACGTCCCTGTGTGTGTGTTAAACACAGGAGCCAGGGCTGCAGGGTGAATGTTGTAAAAGTGTGTAATGGAATATTGAAAATCTTTCTCTCTCTCCACAGAGTACGTCCAGCTCTATGTCGACTTCCTGCTGAATAAATCCATTTATAAGCAGTTTTCTGCCTTTTACCACGGCTTCCACAGCGTGTGTGCCTCTGACGCGCTCATGGTGAGTCCACTGTGTGTGTGTGTGTGTGTTTGTGCGTGTGTGAGGGTCACATTATGTCTCTCAGCATCATAAACATTACACGCAGTACGACATTAACACCCAGCCTTCTCACATTTATCCGTGACGCTCTTGTCGACAGAAAACCGGACGGTTAGCTCAGACAGGTCGAACGCACAATCACCAAACGAGACGGGTCGGACCGGGTCACCCTGAACTTCCAAAGCCAAAATCAAATCAGCTTAAAAACTCAGTTATTTCCACTGACAGAGGCTCCGGTACCAACACATACAAAACAAGTCACAAGCTAAAACCTGTTTAGAAATCACAGAAAGAGAAAGTGAGATCACGCTGTGATAAAACCTTTGTTCTAATCCTCAGCATGAATTCTGTCAGTGTTCTCACATCTTTTAATCATGTATCTTTGTTTTGTTTTGTTTTGTTTTGTTTTGTTTTGTTTTGTAATATTTCCCTCCAGTTTTTTTCAAAACAACATTTTTTTAATCAAGAAGAAATGTTGATTGAACTTTCTCTGATGTGGATTCAGAGGTCGATCGTACGGAAAGGATTGAGATTCACTCCTGTTCTTGCTCAAATAATTCACAGTCCATCAAATGTGACGTTCTTCAGTTTATCAACCATCTCTTAAAAAGTCATTCAAACCTTCTGAATTCTTTGTTCAGTTATTTTTGGATCTGAGTGTTTCATCAGTTTGAGGATGAAGAGACGTCAATCATCTCTTGTTTGATCAGATACGACATCAGCTGATCCAAACTCAGCTTCACTCGAACTGAGTGAGACGTTGGATGTAGTGATTCAGACTTGAGATAAACAGAGGACCTTAATTCACTGGAAGAACGCTTCAAATCAGTCATGCAGAAGTCATCACTTCCTGTGCAGCAACAGTGACAGAACTGAAACTTTATCTCCTGAATCACTGTTTGCTTTAATATGAACTTAGAGCCGAGAACAAACCTCACAAGTGTGAGTTGAGCTTGTGAATGTCTCCATCATGAACAGAGAGAAATGTGACCATAGATGGAGGCGAGGCAGCGAATTCTGTTTGACTTCCTCCTTAGCCAAATGTTTGCTCTCCCTGATAAAGAGCTGCTGACTCAAACCTGATCATGTTGTTGTTTGTAGAGCTCCAGGACCATTGGGGGTGGGGGGGTACTGTTAAATATTGCCTCCATATTTTGTGGTATAGTAAGGGACAATTTTTCAGTTAGAATTAAATAATAATGATTATAATAATAAAGTAGTTATAATGAAAATAAACACATTTTACCACAAAAAGAAACGAATAATTCATATGTAATGAAGTATACATCCATATGAAGTAAAAACATGTGTAACCACGTCAGAATCAGAAACAGTTTAAATATTTTATTAAAAAATAAAGTTTCAATAAAGTATTTACAATAACAATTAATATATATAAATATATATATATATATATATATATATAAAACAATACAAATATGTACAATGTGCAATTTTAGAAATTGGAATAATTTCATATATTCACATATACGTATGTCTAGCACATGTTGATGTATGTGTGCTTATATTGTAGACATACAGGATGGTGATATTGTATATTTAAATATAAAAGAAAGAGATGCATGTTTAAAACATATAAACATGTAGAATTTGTTGTTTTGATAAACTTTCATATATAAATTAAATATATATAATTAACAAATAAGTACGCAACATGTTATACTAGTTAAAGATTCATCAAATAGATATTTTTTAATAAATGTACACATACACATTTTACTATGGGTATTTCATATATGTTAGATCTTCATATATCCAGAGGATGTATATATGTAATAATATAAGACTTTATACACAGAGAAAATTATTACATTTATTGTATTTGATAAAAGAAATAAATAAATTGAAAATGTCAAACAGAAAGAAATTATAATAAATTCTACGTATTTACTTCATAACAGTAAGTATAACAGATATATAAATATTAAAATTTACTTTGTTTTTTAAACTTTAACGTTCCTAACTGTCATAAAATAGAAGAATTTTCCTAATAAGCTTCAATAACTATTATTTTTTAACTTAAATATAATTAAGTAACATTTACTTTCTGTGTGGGAATCTTCTTTGCGGACGTCTAAACGTCTAAACAAGAGACTCAGATGTCTAAGGTTGTTGTTGTATGAGCAGTGGCTCATAGTTTTTGTGCGACCTCTGACCTCTGACCTTGTGGGTCCTGACTCACAGTTTATCGGCAACAGTCAGGGGGCAGTGTCGGAACAGCTGTCTGAAATACCTGTGGGAGCTCAGATAAGACGGAGGGAGAGACTGCGGTTTTTCAGCTGAGTCTGGATCTGGGTCAGAGGAGAGACAGGCTGATCTCAACCTGGGATAAACTCTCCCCCGGCTGCCTCCTCCGTTTCCCACAGTCCGGAAAAACAACGCAACAAAACTTTGGAAACTTTTTGTAGCATCTTTTAAAATCTAAACTACTAGAAATCACAATGTTTTTGCTCATTGTTTCTTCTTCTACGCCTGATTGTCCAAGTGCTTAAAGCCCTTCTTATATGAGACAGAACAAACAGCCATATTTCTGATTGATACTGATGATTTAGCTGTTAACAGCAGTGGAGGTGAACATGTAAAGTTGATCCTGAGTGGCTTCAGAGGAGAGGTGTATCAGGTATCTGTGGATTTTCTGTTGACGTGGACGTTTCATCGTGCTTATTTTAAATTAAAACGATTTGTACGCTGTGACTTGAATGAGGTCTGAGGCTCAAAGTAAGTGAATGTTATATTTCTGGATGAAACAAGTGAAGAATCACCTGTGACCTGGGGCAAATAAAGACGCACCTGTCTCACACTCAAAGCAACAAAGTGTGACACCCTTTCACAGCATCTTTCTTCTGCTTGTCTCTCTGTCTCTCTGTCTCTGTCTCTCTCTCTGTCTCTCTCTGTCTCTCTGTCTCTCTCTGTCTCTGTCTCTCTGTCTCTCTGTCTCTCTGTCTCTCTCTCTGTCTCTCTCTGTCTCTCTCTGTCTCTCTCTCTGTCTCTCTCTCTCTCTCTCTCTCTCTCTGACTGTGTTCGATTGCTCAGTCACGTCCACACTGTGCGACGTGCTCGGATGTGATGAGACAGGCCTGTGGTTTGTGGCCGTGTGTGTGGTTTGATGTTGGTGTGTGTGTGTTGTGGTCGTGGAGTTTCCAGGGTTTTTAGGTCAGTAAAGAGTCAAACTGCAACATCAGTGATGCGGGACGTAAAGTGTTTTTATGACCTATATCATCTCGTCAGTGCAACTATCGAATATATTCGGATTATTTTAAATGATTAGTGTCACATTATTATTGTGGTTCTTTCTGAAAACGTCTCTAATCTTGATAATTTCCTGCTGTGACCTGCATCAGTCACCTGCAGAGTCAGACTCATGACTATAAAGCTCATAAAGTCCATTATGTAATGTCACTTTTGTCTGGTTGTTAGTAAGAAACTTTCTCTGCTGTGAACCACTGACTTTCTGACAGTTTGACACATTTTGCCATTATCAGCTGCTCTGATGAGGCTGAACTTCCTGTTTCTGCTGCTGGTTTACTGGTTGTGTTGCACTTGCATGATCTTACATCAGCGGAAGAGGGTGTTGCATTCGCCCACTGTTGTATCTTAGTGGAAATTCTGCAGAAAGGCTGATGTTGCATCTGCACAGCTGTTTTCATGAAATGAAATGAGCCGAGGAGACCAACAACACAGGTCAAAGTTAGTATCCTTAAAGCTCCTCCAGTGTAAAGGTCTGTGTCCATGTGTAGTGTGATTATAGATCAGCTCTAGCTTCTATATTAATACTGTGAAAGTATCAAAGCCTCAGTCCACAGAGAAATGCACACAGCCTGTATTCAGAAACTGAGCCTTAAAACCAGCCGTCAGGACTTCTGGAACTTTGTGATGTCACAACAAAGCAGTCACCAAGCCCCGCCCACCTGGACCCACCATCCAAACCTTGCAGGATTTGGTTTCTCTGAGTGTTTTTACCTGAAATCTGCTATATTTTTATTGGATCACTCAGAAAACAGTCAGCCAATCAGAAGAGAGGCTCAGAGAAACATGGAGCTTTAAGATTTTTATGAACTCAGGATTGTTCAGGGATTTACAGGAAATGATTCATGAGTTCAGTTGTTCACCAAATTTGTGTGTGTGTGTTTACTGAGTGTTTCTCTCTTGTGTTTCCAGCTGCTGCGGCCGGAGGAGGTGGAGATGTTGGTGTGCGGCAGCCCAGAGCTCGACATGAGCGCCCTGCAGAAAGCCGCTCAGTACGAAGGATACGGCAAGACTGACTCCACCGTCCGGTGAGACGTCTCCACTTCCTATTCGCTGCTCATATAGCGCGTCCAAGCACCTCACATTTCCTGTTCACACACTGACCTCACTGGCTGGGAAGCTGCTGTTCAATAGACCCACTGTGCCGTGGTGAAGCTGCTGTCTGACATCAGTTTGAGTTTGTTTCAACGAGAAACAGAGTTTATCTTTTTCTTTTCTTCTTTAGATTATCTAATAATAAATGAAGAATATTACAATAAAATGAATTAAATAAACAAATAAGCAACAACAATAATACTGAAGCCATCCATCGACAAGGCCCGACAGGCCTGTTACTCAACTTCACCACTGTCTGTCCCACTGTGTTACAACAGATGTGTGTACGTTTGTCGTGGCAGAGCTTCTGCACGGGCAGAGCTTCGTTTCTGCGCAGGCAGAGCTTCGTCCACACCACAGACCAAGTCGAGCGTTTCCAGATTCATCCACTCTGCAGAATATTTTCACAATATTTGAACTTGACAGGATCAGAACACCTGAAAAAATACTTAAAGTATAATTTTATTAAACACATTTTGATTCTTATTTGACAGTTTTTGATAAATTTAATACGCGTCACTACATCCAGGTCGAATAGGGACAGAAACAAGCTGGCTCACACTGAGTAATGTGATGGACGACGAGGCCCCGACACCTATAACTCATCTACTGAAATACCCGTCTGACTAACACTGTTCATACGTGTCATGTGACAGCTGTATCTGTGTGTTGCACCAGGTGCTTCTGGGACGTGGTGTTGGCCTTCCCCCTGGAGCTGCAGAAGAAGCTCCTCCACTTCGCCACAGGAAGCGACCGCGTCCCCGTCGGAGGAATGGCCGACCTCAACTTCAAAATCTCCAAGATCGACGTTCCGACCGACTGGTGAGAACCTGGAGAGACTGGGGAGGAAGTTTTAATAAATACAAATACAGACTGTTGTTTCTTTAATGGCGTCCAGACAGAAACACTATTCACACATTAACCTCCATCCAAACATTCTGCAACTTGCAGCGGCTGAAATTTATTGTTGGTTTCACAAGTAGAACAACGAGAAGTCGAGAAGTCACCAGAAGTCTTTTGAGCCTCAGCTGAGTCAGAGTTTTACAGTTTGATTATTAAAGTGTTGGAGTTGCTCAACAGGCGGGTGAAGCATTAACACTGCACTGAACAGGCTGAGGTGTGATAAGACTGAGTCAGAAAGTGAACCAGCTGCTCCAAGGCGGTGGTTTCACACATGCAGGAGGTTTTTCTATCAGTCATACGATCTGTTTGGGTATAAGTTCATATCAGACAAGTTTTTATTCATTCTTTTATTAGTCAACAATATACAGCAATATGATAAGAGGATTTCAAGGTGGACAGGATAAATAACTGTTGTTGGATCATTTACTTTTTTGCTCGTCAAATGAAAAACTAGCTCCAATTTCAGTGATTTGATGTTTTAAAGTGTTTTTTTGGTTAAAAAAGTCTTTTCAGAATCATAAATATTTAACTTTTATTTAAAATTTTAAGAGTTGATAGTTAACTTTATTTTTGTAACTTGTCGTCTGGTCTTTCTCTCCGTCAGGTTGCCGATCTCTCACACCTGCTTCAATCAGATCTGTCTGCCTCCGTACCGAACCAGGAAGGAGCTCAAACACAAACTCACCATCGCCATCTCCAACGCCGAGGGCTTCGGCCTGGAGTGACCGGCCTACACACACACACACACACACACACACACACACTCACTCATTCGCACTATTAGCAAACGCTAGCTATCTGTCCGCCACAGCTACCACAATGCGCCTTATGTATCTCTGTAGCGGGAAGGAGCTTCTAGCGTCAGACATCATGATAATGGACATTGATGCGGTTTGTTTCGGTACATCGGGGGTCGGACTCGTCAGTTTGCCGATGTTGAACTTTTCAAATCTGCAGCAGGTGAAACGGGAGCTTCCTCCTGACACTATAAATTCTTTGATTTGCACACGGACTGTGTTCGTCGATTGTAAGACAGAACTGAAGGAATATAAACCAAGAAGAAGAAGAAGAAGTTCTCATTTCAGTGACAGATCACCTTCCAAAAACTTTACGGGTCAAATTCATAAATGATATTTCAAATATTTCTGCTCTCGTACCACTGAAAACATATCACTCCTACTGGATCAGGTCGTTCCCCCAGTCCTCGCTCTCTAAAACTTATATCACCAAAGTAATTCAACTATTCTTAAATTATAAAATGCTGCTCGTTCTCTCAGGAAATTAAGATCAATATCAATTATTTTCCCACCTCTTACATTAACCCTTGTGAGTTAAACAGAAAAATCAGACTTAAAAATGCTCAAACTACAGTTTTTAATCACCAACATTACGTCATTGAGTATTCAGTAAGAATTGAATTTAATTGTGAGCAGCAATAAGATCCAGTGCGAGTAAAATATGAAGGTAAATGAACTGAAATCTAAGAATCTGAGTTTTGAGGTGATGGGTTTGATATTTCTGACGTCAGCGCTTCGGTGACTGTTTAAATATATTTGTATGAAGACGTAGTAAACGTGTTTTATATGGTTTTGCTTTGTTTGCAGCACACTGTCAGGATATAAAGCTTTGCTGGGAGAAGAATAATATTGTGTATCATGAGATGTAGATTGTCTTGTGAATAGTTTTCTTGTTGTTTTTTTGACATTGCCGCCTGTTTCACTGAACAAAAGGCCGCAGCACAAATGTTTTAATGTTGTTTTGAATGTTGTGATATTATGACACAGCTGATCCAGAGCTGTTGATTTATAGATCAGTGTTTGGTTTGAGGTTGTTTTTTTTTTTAATGTCGTGTCTTTGCTGCCGTCAGACGGAGAAACGAGCAGCAGACGCTGCAGCTCGAGTGTAGAACAGAAGATGAAGCAGGATGAGAGTAGAAAAGTCCTGTTCTGTTATTAACATGTTGATAATCATTGTGGTTATTTGAATATTGATATGTTCCGGTTATTGTGGCAAAGCCTTCACACACTACGCTTGAGTTAAGATGACATTATCGGACAAATCTCAGAAACACAAACCCGCCACTCGTCCTCTGAAAATCCAAAATAACTCATGTCTACCTCATAATGGCCCTGTGCTCACTGCTGCCACTGGTGGTCAGAAATTATATTCTAGCAATATTCATTAAATTATAATTTAAATGTTCTGCTTTTCAAAACAAATGGAAAATATTATTGATAAATTGGTGAAATATGACTTGTGGCCACCAGAGGCAGCACCGTGCGCAACTCTGAAAAACAAAACTTCAGTAATGGCGATCTTATCCTGTAGCAGAATTTGTGGACATAACATTAATTCTCATCACAATTTCCTGTTTGTCAGATCAGAAAATATTAAAGTAAAGACTCCTAAAACCTGGAAGTAAATTAGCATTTTAGCACCTCTGGTTCCCTCGTCCTGAAGTCTCTGTGTTTTTAGTTAGATGGCTGAAGTTTCTGTGTTTAACACAAGCTCGAGACATTTTTACGTTTTATTCTACGACATAAAATATGTCAGTAAGTCTTGATTTCTTTAAGCCTTTCCGTCTGTAAAAAAAAAAAGGCCGGTTGCTAACGAGTGTCTAAATGAGACGACAGAGCTATCTGTAGGTTCTACTATTGCCACATAGCTAGCGTTAGCATTAGCAGAGAGCAAGAGCAGCTATCATTGCGTTTACAATACAAGAGGTCATGTTGGTACTTCTTCATAGCAGACTGGACACTACAGTGACAGCTAGCTGGTTAGCATGCTGACTTCAATAGAGGAATCATAATGTGATGAACTCACAACCTGTTGAAGTAAACAGCTGTTGATGCTAACGCTAGCTAGGTAGCAATAGCAAGACTTACGAATCGCTCCCTCGTCACCTCGTTGTGTTTCTACAAACTGTCACTAACTCTCAGAGGAAAGGCTTCAGTAGAAGGTCAGAGCTGAATCACACTATGAAGTTTACTGAAGTCATGTGACCGTGGTGAAGCTGGTTTATAGGCTAACGTTAGCATTTTACTTCTGATTGCATTGAGGCTTCAAACATCATAAAGTGGTTCATTAGTGAAGATGATCCTGCTGAACTAAACCTGTCAGGATCAGAAACATGTTTATTTTCTGCAGTACAAAAGACAACGGAAAAATCTCATTGGCTTTTTGTTGAGCGAACCAGGGTGATGCTAACTTCCGGGTTAGCCTACAAAAATACATCGTCCCTGCAGCTCTGTAAAGCTGTGTCTCAGTTCGGGGGACAACATATCCCAAGATTCATAGCGCTCCTTACAGTCTATGTCTATTACAAAAAGGTGAACTCTGTAGACCAAACCGTCTCATTTCTGTTCGGCATTCGTAGTCTATGTGGTTTCCCGAGGCCCCTGAAGGTCTCTGAAGGACGTGGCCCCTGAGTTGAGAAACAGCTTATCGCACATAATCAGACAAACACGATTTAAGTGCCACAAAGTTCTGGTGGGATCCAAACCCTCTGCCTCTAATGAAGCTCTCTGGAGCTTCTCATGGTTTTCGTGCCACTGATGTCTCTCTCTCTGTCTGTCTCGTCCAGAGCGGGGACATCACTGTCTCATGTAAGGTTGCCACGGTAACACGTCTAAAGTCCCCAAAATAAAAAACGATCTGGCAAGAAAACCAAGTAACTAAGCAACGGTCAAGCAGCTTGTATGGCTGCACCGCTGAGACTTACACCAGCCAGATCTGGGTCACCCATTCACCCATTCACCCATTCACCCATTCACCCATTCACCCAGTCTCACTGAGCGTCTATAGGGTCTGAGAAAGATCCTGATACAACAGCGGGTTCTTTCTGTCGGTTAACGACAAGTCAGCAGGAGCTGGAGCCAGGAGACGCTTCAGTCCAAGCATCTGTCTGAGGAGGACTTCATGCTGCATTCACGGCACGTCGGAACTATCGGAAAAAAGAAAAAAGAAAAAGGAGCTGCTGACGGGGATAAAAACATGTCAGCATCCTGGTGCTGAATACAAAGAGGAAGAGGGAAATGTCGGAGGAGCAGCTCGTGTTCGGACAAATGGGATCATGTAAATGTCAAAGTGTTGTTGTTTTGTTGTTGTTGTTGTTTTAATGTTGATCTGACCCAGGTCTGTTGTTTGTTAATGGGACCAAACTGTGTCAGGTTATACAGTGGGACGGCGGAGTAAAGACCTTGTCGAAAATCTGTTTGAAAATAGTTCAGATGGATTCAGAGGATTTGATGAGATATAAATATTTTCACTTGTCAGGTGTTTGAAATGTAAGAGCAGAGAAACGTCACGTACTGACAGCTGCAAACCTTCAGGTCCAGATGTTCTCTACACTCTGAGTCGACCAAACATGACCCATTTTCTGAATCCTGTCGTGCTTCTGTTGCCCAAGTCTTATATAATACTGTACGTACTGCCGTGTTTCCACAAGTATTTACAGTAAAAGTTGACGAGGGGTCATTCCTCTCTAGAAAAAACCTTTTCCGTCTTTGCTTCTTCTCTTTGTTTCTTTTGTTTAGATCCTTTGAGTTCATGCTCTTCCTCACATTCACACTGGGAGCTGCACAGAACAGCCTGGGAAGCTGAGAGCTGCTGGTTTACAGCTCAGAGGACCGGTGTTTGTGTCTGTGTTCGTTTCACGACATTAACAAACAAAAGAAAACACACATGGAGAAACTGAGGGAGAGTAGATTTGTTGTCAGCTCCTCGTGGTCGTATCCCTCCGCCACTCAGACTGGTCTCAGGTGACATCCTGTTTATCCAGAGTCGGAGAAAATATTAAACATTTGTATGAAATTTTGTCAGAATAATTTTGTGCTTGGTGCAGAGCCTCCTCTCTTCTGATTGGCCGACCGACCTGTTGTTATGAGATGAGACTGATGAGACTGACACCGAGATGAGACCATAAATATATCTTCTTATGGATCAACACTTCAAAAGAAAACACAGGAAAAGATGAAAACACGGAGCTTTACATTAAATAGACTCTATACTGTGAATATAAGAGGTCTTTGACTAAAAAGAAAAAGTAAAAACAAAATCTTTTCGTGCAGTGACACTGATTTCCAATGAAAATCAACTTGTTATTATTCCAGAAAGTTTTTGAAAGAAGTTGATTTTTGTTTGAAACATTAAATATTCTTATTACAGCGGCAGAAATTAATTTTTATAAATATTTAAATTCACTGTCTCTGCCACAAAGAGACGGCCGAGACAAACAGAAACACTTTGACTCTGAGTTTCAGTTTGTTACAGAGATGTAAAGCTCGTGTTTTGACTTTGAAGTGAGACAAACGGCGGGAAGAACAGCAGCACGGGACGATCTGTCATGTGGTGTGAGTGAACACAGAAGAATAATGACGGGTTCATGTTTTCATTTCACTAATTATCCTGACACTGAAGCAGAGTCACAGTTAAAGACACTAAGAGCTGTTACCTCACACACACACACACACACACACACACACACACACTCGTATCCAGTGTTTCTCTCTCCTTTACTGCAGACACCAATTAATGCCCAACAATATTTTTTCCCATGTTTACTTTCTGTTTTCCCTCCGTCCGTCTCTGTGGAGCTGAGGTGTCCTACTTTAATGCCGGGAACGAGGGATCTTATCGTTTATTAAACAAACAGAAATATGTAGGCCATGGCCGGCGCTGCTTTGTCACTCAGTAACCCGCCAACAACAGGCCGCCATTATCTTTTTTTAATAGGAGAGCTTTCTGGCCGACTCAGCGC